AATCTGGATGGGACAGTTTGGACCTTCCTTGACCTATCAGGTATCTCAGCTGTCTGAGGTACATGCTTCTGTACTTAGCTGTTAGGTAATATTTGGTCACGGCTCCTGGCTTCAAGCTGAATAATATTGTACCTCCAACCTGTCTAGGTGTATATGTTCACCGTTTCTTCTACAGCTTGGTTAACAGGGAATCGGCCAAAGGGATTGGTGGAGCCCAGTTGAATTGAGAAGCCTCTTTCCATGAATTCCGTGTACACATCTGGGTGTGTGATGGGCAGCTGAGACATCTGGGCGTAGTAGTAGGGGAGGTAGCGTGCATAATTCATCCTATCATAAACGAAGCACAATGGGATAATTGCTTTAATGCTTGCCAAGTGTAGCATCCAGTCTACTTCTCTGGATGATCGGATGAGCCCCAACAAGATTTCAACCATGTCCAAATAGGACATCCAGAAGGTCGAGAGGCTGCCGTTTCCACCTCTGAGGAACACGCGGTAGACTTCAAACAGTTCCATGATGCGTGTACATGACCTTTTCTCGAGGACCTCCTTCAAAGCGGCTTGTGAGACTTATTTCCCAAGGTTGTCAATGGTCGTCAGTGTCTCATCTTGTGAACCATGTCATCACCCTCTTCAAGCCGTGGGTCTGGCAGCATGTTGGCTGTCCCGACCCGGTGTGTGGTTATCCCCTAAGGCTGTGAAGGCTGGAATAAAAGAGAGAGCGAGAGTACCTCCTATTAGTGTCTGTGAATTAACACACTACACTGGTATATTCACAACTTTAGCCTGGGACAATATCGATCATCTTGAAGAAACCGTCAGTGGTGAGGGAACATCTCACCGAGTCAATGGGATTGCTGTGCAAGCAAAGCAAGTCAACCAAGTTCCCGTCCAACCCATGCGCACTGTTGCCAAAACAAAGCAGAGAAGCATTAATGCACCCCCGCCAATGTTACCAACTTACAATGCCACCCCCGAGATGCAGCCCCTTCCTTCGGCTCTTTCCTACCCAGCTACCCCACCAGCATCGACACTGTGGAGATCAGCTTCACGATGTGCGTGCTCATTGCCCGCAGCTCTCCTTCAGCCGGCGGCCGTGTGGAGCCGTCGCCCTTTGCCCGCTGCCCCGCCGGGATCGACACTCCGGGGTCCCCCGCAGGGGTCCCAGCTGCCGGCCCTGCCCGGGAATCCTCCTCGCACTAGGATATGCGGGTGAGAGCCTTCCTCTTCGCGGGTTTCGGCATAGTCTATTTCCCCCCCAAGGATTCAAAAGGATAAAAAAGAGAAAATTCCCAACAACCCTACAATACAAAAAAATATTTTTTTTTGTTAACACTCCTGACACCAAATGTAGTGTGCTAATTCACAGACACTAATAGGAGGTACTCTCTCTTTCATTCCGGCCTTCACAGCCTTAGGGGATAACCACACACCGGGTCAGGACAGCCAACATGCTGCCAGACCCACAGCCTGAAGAGGGCGAAGATCACAACGACGACGGCACGACGAGTTCCATTCCAGATCGCAGCCGCCCCGACTGTGAGTCGGAGCTCGCCTGATATCCTGAACAGCGTGGCCAGGCTCCGCCCTTGGCCCCGCACCCCCCTGGATCCCCCAGATGGGTTCGTGCTTTGCCCACAGGTGCAACTGGTAGAATCTCCCAGCGGCACGTGCTCTAGTGACTCATTCCACGTCACTACACCAGGATGGATGTTAGCTGGTAGGGCAATGTCACTCCCTGATGATGAGAGTTTCTGAAAACACAGGGCGATGTTGATATCTTCCATCTGTGAATATGACACACTGTCACCAAGTTGGTTGGGGATGTTTATCAGCTCTACATTCCCTGACAATGACTTGACACTGAATGGCAGAACAATGTGCTTGGAAGGCTTGGTCTTTCCACATGTCACTGCATAAACTATGTCATGGCAAAATGATTGCAGAAGCCGTTGAACTCTATGGGATGCATGATCAGGATCATTAGTGCCTGTGAGTAGATAGTACAGGAAGACAATGAGCGACTCTGGAATGGTAGGACATTCTGCTTCTGGTTTGACTTCAGGTGGCCAGGCTTGAGGAACATCTTGATTCTTGATGTCCTCTCTCAATTCGATGGCTGCTGTGGCTATAACATCTTGGGCACCGATACTTTTCAGGGTCTGCAGCTCCCTTTTGAGAGACTGATTTTCTTTGGCAAGTTCCCTCATGGACAGGTTATCTGGATAGAGGAGGAGTTTTTCTTTCCCATCAGGGAGGATGTGCAAGGCTCCAGCAAATGCACTCAGTATTTGGTTACACATTGATGGCAGCAGAGAGTTACAACCGGAAAGCAAAACGAACATTGATAAAGGGTAAAATTCATCTTAACTAATCATAACTAAATTCGGGGGTCGGTACTACAGGTGAATAGGCAAAAAAAATGCCTGTCCTTTTATCAGAATGAAAAATTTCCAGATGAATATACACAAAAATATAAGATTTTTGTTTTATTGTGAATTTCCCCCCATTAATTTATGCATATTATGTGCTATCTCATTAAATGCTGTATGCACAAATTGACATATTATGTAAAACACAATATTGACTTAGTAGATGAAGTCGTAACTTTTTGCTTTGTTTTAATGTGATCAATAACTAATTGGTTGGTAATCTACAGAGGCTTTTGTAAAAATATTGTTATTTCAGTTAATTATGTTAACATACACTTTAACATGTAAAAAAACAAGATTTTCGCAATGCCATTTCTGGCATTGTGATGCCGGTAGCAATGAGATTTGAGAGTTATACTTGTGTCCCCCCTCTTATTGCCATGACAGCAAAGTAAATAGCCATATATGATCTGCTCCAGAGAATAAGCTGTTCAATGATATGCAGTTCAAATAGGTTATTTCTTAAAATACGAAGACATTGCGATGAAAGGTGCTAAAAAACGCTAATTTAAGGCTTTGTTTACTTGGCGAAGATTATATAAAATCGTAAAAACTAATTATCTAAAAATATAAATATAGATTTTAAATATAAATAGTTAGTTTTTATGATTTTAATAATCAATTATTACCAATAACAAACTTATTGGTAATAATTGTGTGCATGTTATGAAAGTTTACAATTTCTAGACGCAAAATATAAAAAAAATATTAAAATTGACAAACTGAACAAAAAAAATATTTTTGCCTGTAGTACCTGGCCTTAACTAATAATCTTAACAGGTACATTAACAATACATTGAGGGTAAAGTTAGCACTTTAGATATCTTTACTGAACAGAAATAATACAGAACCACGAGTATTTTCCTCACCTGCCAGTAAATGATCATGAGCAAACAAGCAGCTAGAAACAGAAGGAAAACAGATAGCGCCAATCTATTCCAGACTGAAATTGAAGAACAAGTGCGAATAAATGCAATAATATGTATGAAATACATGCCTTGGGGACAAACTTCCATTTTGCAAATTATTTATTGTCTTAATTAACAGCAGACGTGTTGGAAATATTTATTGCGATAGGTGAAAAAACAGGTTTCCTGCGAGAAAAAATAAACAGCTGCTCATTTGGAAAGGTTATCATGTATTATTTTACTTCTGTTGGTGTAACAAATAAAATGGCACCATTGAAGCTTTGCCACCTTGGGTGGTACCGATATCTGGTCTGGCCCAATGACTTAGCCTGACGCAAATTATTGGCATGCGTCTGTGGATTGTGAACAAACTTGTTTTGTTGCAGTCCTCAGTGGCGGCTGGTCTGCATGGGGTTTGAAGTGACACCCCACCTAAAATATTGCTTTAAGTTATTTAAAAATATATATTTATTCGATGTAAAATAAAACAGCTATAACAGCTCCGATTTAAATGTTAATACTAATCGGCGAATTCAAGTATATTTTTTTGATGTAAGTGTATTTTCATAAAATCGTTTCAAACTAAACATAAATATGGGTCAAATTTCGATTTAAAGCTTTCGTGACTGCAAGGATTCGTTTTCTTTGGTTCTTTCGGTAAAGTCACGTAGAATGAGAATAAATTAATAAATTGATATAATAAAATAACTCAATAAAATTCTCACGACGTTTCGGCCGCTTGTGTTGTGGCCGAAACGTCGTGAGAATTTTATTGTGTTATTTTATTTTATCAACTTATTAATTTATTCTCATTCTACGTGACTTTACCGAAAGAACCAAAGAAGATAAATATGGGTCGCCTGGTCTCACCGCCCCAATATTTCCAGTTTCTCTCATTGGCCGATTCAACCCACTCCCACTAAGTGCAGTGCTACGGTGACCAGATGTTAACTACCTTGCCTGGTATACAGGATGGTGGTGGGTTCGATCCCGACCCTGATGCCTGTATATTTGGAGTTTGTATGTTCTCCCCGTGGTCGCGTGGATTTTTTTTCCGGGTCCTCTTGTTTTTTTCCTTCCACGTTTATAAATATACTTTTATAATATGTGGCTGTTATAAATTTCCGCATGATAAACCCCCTCCATTGAGCTATCATTTGTGGCGAGGTCGCTTTTGAAAAAGAGCTATATAGCTCAGGAGGCTTTACCTGGTAAAATATTTTTTCAAAAACTGTTAACATCAAAGAGTTTAAAGTGGAACAATGAAGACCCTGGCTAATAACAAGCCACTGTTCCAACTTAATTTTCAAAGGGACGGCCAATAGACTCATCCTTCTAACGCCCCCTCCCACCTGCGGCGCCGGCACCGCCCCACCAAACATTTGAGAGGCCGGCAGCCACCGGCATTCGCGTGAATTTAATTCCAAGTCAAGAAAAATTCACACATTTTGTCGAATTCACCAGATATTTGCTGTGTGTGCGGCACGTGTGTGGGTGTTATGGGCCGTAAGGTGTGAGGCTTTCCTGCCGCACCACCCACTCGTTGCTAACAGCACTTGCCCCGGCAACCTGTGTAGGCTAAACAGGGGATGCCATAGGTAAGAATAGAACTGATGATTTTGTGTGTTTGTCTTGTGTGATCGTAAGTCGTTCTTTTGCAGATACGTGGGTAAGACATGCCTGCTCGCCACCTACACGACTAACGTCTACTCGCAACAGAACTTCCTCCCCTTGTACGTGAAACCAGCCCTCATCAGGGCCGGAAGCGCACTCAGATAAACACTTCGGAGGGGGCATTGTTTTCATACCACAGGTCATTTTGCCTATGCATGCACGTGAATATGTATTTTTTATTTGCATATGTGACCGTGCGTAGGTATGTATTTGTATGTGTACATGTCACTCTTTGTGTCTGTGTGTATGTATGTATGTGGGGGGCGATAACGTAATGGTTAGCGCACTGCGCTCCGAACTCCACGACCCGAGGTCGATTCACGGCCAACATCGGTGACGAATATCTGAACCAGTCCTGGGCCTCCTCTAGGTCGACTTGGCCTTAAATTAGCACCTGGTGAGGTGTGTAAACGTTAGTACTGGGAATACAAAGGTGGACGGGACGTGGTATTGGGCTACTCGCTAAAAACACTTGTCCCAATAGTCTGTTAAAGGCTATACGGGGGGGGGAGAATATTCGTGTCGAGACGCAGTTAGAGGTCTCTGGGGGGGCACCGAGCACCAGGTGCCTCGATTGGTGGGATTAAGGGCACGTGACCGGAAGCGGAGAGCTCCGCTTGGTGGAGTTAACGGCACGTGACCGGAAGCGGAGAGCTCCGCTTGGTGGAGTTAAGGGCACGTGACCGGAAGCGGGGAGCTCCGCTTGGTGGGGTTAACGGCACGTGACCGGAAGCGGGGAGCTCCGCTTGGTGGAGTTAAGGGCACGTGACCGGAAGCGGGGAGCTCCGCTTGGTGGAGTTAAGGGCACGTGGCCGAAGGCGGGGAGCTCCGCTTGGTGGAGTTAAGGGCACGTGACCGGAAGCGGGGAGCTCCGCTTGGTGGAGTTAAGGGCACGTGACCGGAAGCGGGGAGCTCCGCTTGGTGGAGTTAACGGCACGTGACCGGAAGCGGAGAGCTCCGCTTGGTGGCGTTAAGGGCACGTGACCGGAAGCGGGGAGCTCCGCTTGGTGGAGTTAAGGGCACGTGGCCGAAGGCGGGGAGCTCCGCTTGGTGGAGTTAAGGGTACGTGACCGGAAGCGGGGAGCTCCGCTTGGTGGAGTTAAGGGCACGTGGCCGAAGGCGAGGCAGAGGCGCGGCCAGGGGATGAAGGGGGAGCGCCGAGGAGATGCGGGGCTCGTGTCGGGGATCAAGCGAGCTAACAGACACGCACATAGTGGCTTTTATTTTGGTGATTTCGAAAAGTTTTTTTTGTTTTGGCCATGTTTTTGTTTATTGTAGTACGGAGTTGACTGATGGCCTTAATCTTAGTTGTCTTGTGGTTGTTGTTATTTTGACTTGCATCCCACTGGGATTTTTGCACACAGCGTTGGTGTACGGTGCTATTTCAGGAATATTTTGATATTTTTTTCCTGTATTTTCTGTTTGCACAGTCACATAATCACTTTAAGATGTTTTCTTGTTCATGTTTTTTGTTTGTTGCGGTTGCACCCGATTCAAGAGCCAAATGGCTCACAGGGCTATACCAAATAAATGAACTATGAGTCTAGGACAAGTTAGCCACACTTAACTACAGAATCCGGCGCTCAGTGATTCGCTTAATAAACGCGTTGCCGCCTACAACAGGTGTGTGTGCGCCTCAGTCGACATGCACTACATTTGTGTGGTTTATGTGTCTGTGCATATGCACTTTATGTGTACATGAGACTGTGGCTTTGTCTTTTGTGGTTTTTTTGTATTTTGCCTTTGTCTGCTGGAGTATAGTGGCTTGGCAGTCTCAATGGTATGTCGCTTGCTCAGGGCTGAATTCTCACTTCATCCAGAGCTTCGCCAAGCACGTTTATTGAAAATATACAATCGTGCCAAACTAACACGCGGATCGACCCGAAAACACATTGCAGACACAATGTTGTCGGGCTTGTCTGAAAAAACTAGCCTTAAACTGCTGTTGTTGGTACTATAATAATTGAATGGGCTGTGTCATTTTCATTGCCAAGGTTTAACAGCTTCTTGGCCAACGTAACGGTGAATGGCGACCCGTTGAACCTACAGCTGATTGACACACCGGGAATAGAGGAGTATGATCGCCTGCGTTCTATCTGCTACACGAACGCCGTGAGTGTTACCCCCACATAACGCTCGCTTTTCAGACGATTATATCAACTTCTAACTCGGAACGGTATTCGCTGACCCTCGTAAGTCACCACCACGGCCGCTCAGGTAAACAAATGTTTCCCTTGTGTGTCACGTGAACATGCCAAATACCTATTTGCCAGAATGCACGACTGAAGTAAAACACTTTGGTTATGTGATGTTCGACCGTAACTTTGTTAAATTCAAATGTGGCAAACCTAATGGTTATGAACTGCAGGAAAAGGCTTTGAAGAACTCAACAATGAAGGCTGCAAAGTTGGGATGGAGATGCATATGGGCAAAACAAAAGGCGTGTTAAACATGTTTGCTGAACAAACTGAAATAATTATTTGCCGGGTTTGGCTGCAAAAATAGCCTTTGGAAAACGATCTAGGAAAGTAAAACCAGTCGATACCAAAATAACCTTCAGGACCTCCCCAAGTCAAGATTAACGTTCCACAACCCACTTCGGGATTGTATTATTGCGTATGACGGCAACATGTTCAGGCGCTAAATGCCAATGTCGAGACAGCTTCAGGAGAGAGTCCGAGTAGTTTTGCTCTTCCAAGCTCTCAAGGTTCTCACGTTTCAACCCTGAGGTTCGGTAAATAGCTTGGGAAAATACCAACGTTGCTAACTCGCACTTAATCATCAACCCCAACGAAAAACCCCACCGTTTTTAAGTTACCCTACAAACCATACCATGCATTGAATTACATCAGAACATCGCAAGGCAGATGTATGTATGTTGAACTTCTTTAACATCGTACGTAGCCAACCGTGCTAATCGGAGGTGCGGGGAAGGACAACATCACCCACAGCAATGGATAATAAAGGATAGCCCACGGTGCGATCGCGGTGCGCAATATAAAAACCACAGACCACGTAGTAACACTAGCGCCTGCTTCGACCGTTCACCGGCAGAATTTCAGATGTTGACCAGGCTGCTCCTGAAGCCAGCTGTCCACCGACTCATCCACCAACTTCAAGATGAACATATAAAGACTGGATGTTACCAAAACATTAACAACCTACGCTGCATTCTCCTACATTACTTTTTAAAACGATCTCAAATACTAATTGTGTTTGTCACCTTGCTCTGAACAGGACGTGGTTCAGATCTGTTTCTCTCTAGACAACCAGTTTTCATTTGACAGCATCCCTGGCAAGGTGAGCGGAGGCTTTAATAGCCGCAACATATGCCAAACACACTCACCACTGCACTGAGAATGATTTTAAACAGCTGCGATTGAGACAAACAGCACCGGTGCTTTGTACTATGACATGATTCGATAACATGGCCATTAACCAAACAAAATGGGACAAAAAACTGAAGTGTGAAAATAATATTCTTTGGTTCTTTCGGTATAATCACGTAGATGGAAAAGAATTAAATACAAATAAAAATAAAAAAAACAAAAACTCACGACGTTTTGATCACGACACAAGCAGTCGTCATCAGGCGGTCATCTCTCATCAGGTGGTTGTCTTTCCGCCTGATGGCGACCGCTTGTGTTGCGATCGAAACGTCGTGAGTTTTTTGTTTTTATGAATTTGTGTTTTTTAAAATCATTTTTATTTTATTATTTTCCATCTACATGACGTTACCGAAAGAAGCAAAGAATATGAATTCCGGCAGTCACGAATGTTTTAAGTAAAAATTTGTGCAAAGAATCGAGAGACGTTACGGAGAGGGCTTGGAGCCAGAGATAGAAGCACGTGGTCACTCGCTGGTTAGCGTAGATGCACAAACCATTATCTATACAGATCACATGACAACCACGGTTTTCGCAAAGCATCATCGTGTTCTTCTCACATTTAAATAATGTAAAGGTGCAAGCACTGAAATTTATTATTTACGCCACTGCTTACGAAAGGTCCTCCACTCGAGTCAGCTCTTAAGCGCTCTTGAGAACTTCCTGTGGAGGGTATATGGCTTACTCTTCCATGCTGGCCATACATTTTCGACGGGAGTATCACACCTTACCCCACGACATGCAACCTACCGACTGTGGTGTATACATTTATACTTCTTGGTAGAACAGAGGGGATATTTAAGAAACTTGCCCCATTGTTTTAACTGCTGTGCCATGAGATTTAATTGAAATGGCAACCTCCGGATTGTCCAGTGCGATAAACATGATACCACAGTAGCATCATACATTGAAAAATAACCTAAATGAATATGACGATGCTGTGATGGCTTTGTCGTTGGACTTCCAGTGGTACCCAGAGGTGCGCCACCACTGCCCCACGGCTCCCATCATCCTGGTTGGCACTAAACTCGACCTCCGGGACAACAAGGACGCTGTGGAGAAGCTCGGGCAGCAGAAGCTTCCACTCATCACCTACAAGCAGGGCCTGGCCTTAGCGAAGAAGATTGGTAGCACTAATTCACCATGCCACTATTATTGTAATGTGTTTAAAGTTGGGCTATTCCATTACTCGACTGATTATTCGATAAAGTGTTTTAGAAAAAAATGTCTCACTTCTGTTCCCGCATGTGCCGCTGGACGAGAAGTAATGGGCGGGGTTTGATGATGTCATCACCATCATCTGTGTCATGCTGGGCGTGGCTTGTAGGGGTTTCCTGCCTTCGTGAGGCCGAACGTTAAAGCGTTTGTAAATTTTAAGGGAGCCTAAGTAATACAAAAAAATAATCGATTACAATTTGTCATTGGTTCATCTACTAATCGTCCCAGCTCTACATTTCTTAAAGTGGTGCTCAAGGTGAAGTGCAGATCACGGCAACTCTGCAGTTTCCATTTTGCAACATAATTGCACGTAACTGAACCATTGTCGCATAGGCTGAACTATGAAATGCCTCTAGGTCTAGAACCTCGTCTCGTGGAGGCCTATTTCGCCAGCAGTGGTGTAAGCAAACAATGGCAGGGCTACACCTTTATCACATTTCATAATTAAATGGATGTCGGTTATGCTGCAAGAGCTTAAGACCAGAAACAGGAAGACTTCACAATTCTAGCAAATCGCCTGATGAAGCTGGTTGCAATCACCAGTGAAACGTCGTATTCAAATTGTAAACGTGGGTTTACGCTCCAACACACCAGTGTGCTGAAGTAGTAACTAATTGGCACGTTTTGTTTCCGTGACAAACCTTACTATTGGGTTGTCGGGCGGTGGTGGGTTAACGACACATTCATATCTACGCAATCTAACCCAAAAGTCTTTATAATGAATAATATTACTCGCGAAAGGCTACGCATTAAACAGCGTTTGTGTCTGGCGTCTGTGCAGGGGCGGTCAAGTACGTGGAGTGCTCGGCGCTCACCCAGTATGGCCTCAAGACCGTGTTTGACGAGACCATCAATGCAGTGCTGTGTCCCCCACCCGCCAAGAAGCGCAAGAAGAAGTGCCAGCTCCTGTAGATCGCGGCTTAACTCTCCACACTAACGACGCGCACTACGAGTGGAAGGGAGCGGACGAGCACCACTTGCGTCCAGAGGTTACCGCGAGCGTCAAGTGGTAACATTGTTTTTGGGTTGCGTTCCGGTTGGCTTCATTGTTGGGCTACATGTAGAGGCTGTGACACTGCAGGTGATGCTGACAAACACTATTAAAACAAAAATTTGCGTTCTGCGCGATATTGTTTGCAAGATATTTAAACACACACGTGCTCATTTTCTCACCGATTTAATGTGCGGCACATGTCTGGTACCTCTTCGTATCGTGTACATAACCACACCGCTTTAATTGTAGAATTTGGAGGACCAAATAATACATTGTTTAAATGCAATGCTATAAAGGGCACCATTGTTCAGTAGGGATTACCGTTGGTACGGCTATTATAATACACACAATGGACAGGAAGGACATGATCAAAGGGCTCGCATAAGGCGCATGCGTAATGAACGTAGACTCATTAATCCTCCTCTCCCCACTTTGCGCAAGAGCGCAGAAGTGTGGTCACCACATCTACGCCTCTAGATAAGGAACGAAACAGGTGGGCTTCACACATCTGGCTATCGCCTGATGAAGCTAGTTGTAGTTACTGGCGAAACGTCGTACTCAGATTGTAAATGTTGTGGCTTGGCTCTCCAACACACCGGTGTGCTGTACTAGTAACGAATTGGCCACGTTCTGTTTACGTGACAACCCTTACTAGTTGGCTGTGTCGGGTGGTGGCGGGTTTTAACGACGCATTTATATATTTACGCGATCTTACCCAAAAAACTCCACTATTGCCCCACTACAAGACCTACGCCGTGTCCGGGGAAAGCAGGACATACACAGAAAGAGGCAGCGCCTAAACAAATTGAAGGGACAGTCCCTAAAATGGGAAGGTGCAAAGCCGAAAGAGGAAGAGGAGGGGCCGAAGCAATAAGGGGGCTTGGCATAAAGAGGAAGGAGCAGGGCCTAGAGTGGTTCAACTGCCCTCTTGATTTAAGACAATAAGAGCATAAGAATAAAAAATACGTGCAGCAGGCAGCACACGCCTTTAGTGCGGCAGATGTGGCCACAGGCCAACAAGTCGAAGTAACATTGAGGTAGAATTATGTAAAAAAAAAACTTTGGCAAGCGCCACGTGTAATGTTGCTGTTCAATCTGCCCCACTCGCATCTCTTTTGTTACATTTTATGTTTGTGTTTCATGGGTTGCTATGGAGATGCACCTGTGTTTAAATGCTATGTAAATTAAAACGGTTATTAGAATAAATTGTAATTGTAATTTTTTCTTTCATTTGGTGGCTAAATAACCAAGCTGTCAGTTTAACCTGTACGCTTTCGAGATCAATATTATCCATCAGAGGTTTTTGGTTTGGATCGCATAAATATAATAAACCCACAACATTTATTCTCCAACACACCGGTGTGCTGTACGAGTAAAGAATTGGCATGTTTTGTTTACGTGACAAACCTTAATAATTGGCTGTGTCGGGTGGTGATGGGTTTCACGACACATTTATATTTACGCGATCTAACCCAAAAACTTCTATTATAGATAACCAGGCTGTCCTTGTACACTCACCGCTTGAGCCAGTTGACATTTTTTTATGATTCATAATCGCTATTTGGGTCAGGCCATGTAATGATCTAAGTAAATCTGTGTTGCGAAGAAATGTTAACCACCCGACACAAGCAAACAAATTAAATTGTAACGTGTTCAAGTGTTTAACGGGATCATAATTTTTTCAGCTCACCTGTAAGTTGAAGAACAATTATCAGAATTAAATGTAACAATTAGATACGTTTAGTTTTAAATCCCTCTAAGAACAATGTAATAATAGATGTAAATACTGTATTGAGATAGATCGATATTCTTCACTGCAAGGCCCGCGGGCCACTGGCAGCCCCTGGTGGCCTTTAGTGCGGCCCCTGACAAGACACAACACTTGAAAACACTTCAGCGTGCTGTCAACCCCCAATGGTTTCAAATGAAGTGTTCAAACGCGAAGAATAAAGGTGACAATAACGACATCAGTAGATGGCAGTATACATGAAACATTATACTGGTAGGAACCTCTGGTTTCACAAAGCCCACAGGGGATTATTGTGTCCGTCCGTCGTGCATCCAAAAATGGGAGGGGTGGGGCTGGGTGGGGAGGGGCTGGGTGGGGAGGGTGGGGAGGGGATGGGTGGGGAGGGGATGGGTGGGGAGGGTGGGGAGGGGCTGGGTGGGGAGGGTGGGGAGGGGCTGGGTGGGGGGTTGGAGGGGTGGGGCTGGGTGGGGAGTGGCTGGTCACCCCGTGGTGTCCTTATAAAACTCAACGTTTAACCTACTCACGCCGGCTTGTGCCCGCCCTCACAGTCGGGCATTTTTGCGGAATACACCACGTGGTGCCGCCGTTGACCCTGGCCATTGACCGAGCAACCAACGTTCCTACCAGCAGCTCCCTCCGCAGGAGAATGTGTTGCTTGCACATCCTGTCAACCTTAAAGAAGAAGAGTAGGCTAGCGGGTAGCAGCCATCACGGATTGCATCATTTTGTCTTGCAGGCGGTATGGCGGCCCTCACACCGATAGTTTCTTATCGGCGGAAGTTGTCCCCAATCTGAAAATGACTAAAGGGGCCGTCCATAAATGACGTCACGCGATTTTGGACGATTTTTGACCCCCCCCCCCTCGTCACACGGCATCACAAAAAGTCAGACCCCCCCTCAAATATGACGTCACAAAGCTCTGTCCCCCCCCCCCCCCCCCCCCAAAAAAAATATAAAACATGCTTCAAATCGCTTTAAACTATTGTCATTGTAATGCGTATTTAATGTGGCGCTGCACTCTAATGTTGTAGAAAACATTTATTAAAAAGTCTATTTAATTAAGTAGAACGTGTTGTCTATATTTATTTAAAGTTGCGCATTTTAATGTGTCGTCACATTTCTCACTCCCCCCCCCTTGTCACACATCGTCACAAATGTCTGACCACCCGCCCCCCAGGTGCGTGACGTCATTTATGTACGGCCCCAAAGAACAATGAGGTAGATGGTGCTTGGATCATATAAACAGTTGAAAACTAAAAAAAAAACCCCAATCAGTTCTGGAATCACATTCTCACAACTTTAGAAATCAAGGAGCTGGGCTGAGAATCGCTATAGGGCGGATATGTGAAAAGGTTCGATATGCGAACATACTGCACAGTTTCTGGAAAGTGAAATTTACACCGTACAGCAAACACAGGTTTAGTGGATAACAACAATAACAACACATTCAACTGCTTCATATTAAACACGGAGGGTGGGGGGGATGCTTTACAGTTCCATGTAAGCAAACATAACAGAGATTAAGAACACGTCAGTGTGGAGCAGCGTTGTTAGACTATACGTACGATACGGCATCTGATGTGGGCACGTTAATTTGGGGCGTCACGGTGGCTATGAGATGTTAACTCCCTCGCCTGGTGTACAGGAGGTCGTTGGGTCGATCTCGACCCTGACGCCTGCTGCTGTATATTTGGAGTTTGCGCATCTCTGTCATCATCACGGTGGCTAGGAGATGTTAACTACCTCGCCTGGTATACAGGAGGTCGTGGGTTCGATCCCGACCCTGACGCCTGCTGCTGCTGTATATTTGGAGTTTGCGTGTTTCTCTCTCTCCATGCTCGTGTGGATTTTTCTCCGGATCCTCCGGTTTTTATTTTTTACACGCTTTTATTTAACTCACTCTGTTGTTGTCACATCCTCAAATCTTGTAACTCGATTTAAACCCACTTCCCAATGTCGTTTCGACTGCAAACTTGGTATACTTATGTCACACTGATGACAATACTATATTCTAGCATTACAAATAAAATTAAATATTTTTAAGCAATCTTTTTTTATATGTTATGTTTCGGCTTGGGTCTTAATTGTCCACGCTCAACTAACGTTGGCTGTAAATCACCACGGTCCATCTTACGTTATGGCAAACTTCGGGGCCACTTCCTGGAGTCGTGTATCGTACGATACATTTCATTAAAGCGTGTTTTTAAAAAAAAAGGTTTTAAAAAATATTACTTATTGCCTCCACGTTTACAAAGACGCGTTTAGAATATTTGGCTGCTATAAATTACCACATGATAAGCCCACTCCGTTGAGCTTATGAAGAAGAGCTATGTAGCTCTGTAGGCTTTACCAGGTGAAAAATAAAACAAAATCACCAACATCACGCGTTTCGAATATTTAACTGCTATACATGTCCACATGATGACTTTAAGAAGCCACTTCGTTGAGCTATCATTTGTGTCCAGGTCGCTTCTGGAAGAGACAAAAAATGGGCTACACTGTACAGCTCAGTGGGCATTACCTGGTCCAATATTTTTTTTTAAAATCAGTTTTAGTTTAGTTTTAATTGCGGTTAGAGCGGATATCGGACGGCGGTCGGATATGCGACGTTGTGGTGAATTTGTGTCAGGCATCTGGTCCCTCCCCTCCCTCCCTGCCGGCCACCACCACCCGAGTTCGCTGGCCACCTAAGCGCCCGGTAGGGGGTGGGGGGAGCGAGGGGTCCTCTCTCTCAGTCGTTCGTTCGCTCGCGAGACGAGGAGGAAGCCGGCACATGGATGGCGTCCTCCCGGCAGAGGCGGCGCGGTGGCGGAGCGGGCCGAGGGGACGGCGAGGGCGACGGGCAGCAAGGGCAGCAGGGGCAGGGCCCGCCTGCCGTCCGGAGCGGCACGGGCCCAGCGCAGACCCAAGAGAGCGGGCGGCCCGCGGAGTGAGTGTGACGCGTGAGAGAGCGAGCGCGGGTTCAGGAGGAGGTGCGCGTGGAGTGGTGGGGATGGCAGTGTGCGTGTGTTAGATTGCTTGACGGTGTGAGAGTGTGTGAGCGTGTAAAATAGTGATTGTGCGTGTGAGAGAGAAAGTGTTTGTGTGTGTGTGTGTGGACGTGATAGTGTGTGCGTGCATCGGTGAGTGTGTGCGCCTTGTCATCCGACACGTGGCGTCGGACGCGGGGGATGTGGTGTGAGTGATGTGGGAGTGTGAGTGATGTGGGAGTGTGAGTGATGTGGGAGTGTGAGACGTGGTGTGAGTGATGTGGGAGTGTGAGACGTGGTGTGAGTGATGTGGGAGTTGTGAGACGTGGTGTGAGTGATGTGGGAGTTGTGAGACGTGGTGTGAGTGATGTGGGAGTGTGAGACGTGGTGTGAGTGATGTGGGAGTGTGAGACGTGGTGTGAGTGATGTGGGAGTGTGAGACGTGGTGTGAGTGATGTGGGATTGTGAGACGTGGTGTGAGTGATGTGGGAGTTGTGAGACGTGGTGTGAGTGATGTGGGAGTGTGAGACGTGGTGTGAGTGATGTGGGAGTGTGAGACGTGGTGTGAGTGATGTGGGAGTTGTGAGACGTGTGAGTAATGTGGGAGTTGTGAGACGTGGTGTGAGTGATGTGGGAGTGTGAGACGTGGTGTGAGTGATGTGGGAGTGTGAGACGTGGTGTGAGTGATGTGGGAGTGTGAGACGTGGTGTGAGTGATGTGGGAGTGTGAGACGTGGTGTGAGTGATGTGGGAATGTGAGGCGTGGTGTGAGTGATGTGGGAGTGTGAGTGATGTGGGGGTGTGAGACGTGGTGTGAGTGATGTGGGAGTGTGAGACGTGGTGTGAGTGATGTGGGAGTGTGAGACGTGGTGTGAGTGATGTGGGAGTGTGAGACGTGGTATTAGTGATGTGGGAGTTGTAAGACGTGGTGTGAGTGATGTGGGAGTGTGAGACGTGGTGTGAGTGATGTGGGAGTGTGAGACGTGGTGTGAGTGTTGTGGGAGTGTGAGACGTGGTGTGAGTGATGTGGGAGTGTGAGACGTGGTGTGAGTGATGTGGGAGTTGTGAGACGTGATGTGAGTGATGTGGGAGTGTGAGACGTGGTGTGAGTGATGTGGGAGTGTGAGGCGTGGTGTGAGTGATGTGGGAGTGTGAGTGATGTGGGAGTGTGAGACGTGGTATTAGTGATGTGGGAGTTGTGAGACGTGGTGTGAGTGATGTGGGAGTGTGAGACGTGGTGTGAGTGATGTGGGAGTGTGAGACGTGGTGTGAGTGTTGTGGGAGTGTGAGACGTGGTGTGAGTGATGTGGGAGTGTGAGACGTGGTGTGAGTGATGTGGGAGTTGTGAGACGTGATGTGAGTGATGTGGGAGTGTGAGACGTGGTGTGAGTGATGTGGGAGTGTGAGGCGTGGTGTGAGTGATGTGGGAGTGTGAGGCGTGTGGGGGTGTGAGACGTGGTGTGAGTGATGTGGGAGTGTGAGGCGTGGTGTGAGTGATGTGGGAGTTGTGAGACGTGTAGTGAGTGATGTGGAAGTGTGAGACGTGGTGTGAGTGATGTGGGAGTGTGAGACGTGGTGTGAGTGATGTGGGAGTGTGAGACGTGGTGTGAGTGATGTGGGAGTGTGAGCCGTGGTGTGAGTGATGTGGGAGTGTGAGACGTGGTGTGAGTGATGTGGGAGTGTGAGACGTGGTGTGAGTGATGTGGGAGTTGTGAGACGTGGTGTTAGTGATGTGGGAGTTGTGAGACGTGGTGTGAGTGATGTGGGAGTGTGAGACGTGGTGTGAGTGATGTGGGAGTGTGAGACGTGGTGTGAGTGTTGTGGGAGTGTGAGACGTGGTGTGAGTGATGTGGGAGTGTGAGACGTGGTGTGAGTGATGTGGGAGTGTGAGACATGGTGTGAGTGATGTGGGAGTGTGAGACGTGGTGTGAGTGATGTGGGAGTTGTGAGACGTGGTGTGAGTGATGTGGGAGTGTGAGACGTGGTGTGAGTGATGTGGGAGTTGTGAGACGTGGTGTGAGTGATGTGGGAGTGTGAGACGTGGTGTGAGTGATGTGGGAGTGTGAGACGTGTGAGTGATGTGGGAGTGTGAGACGTGGTGTGAGCGATGTGGGAATGTGAGACGTGGTGTGAGTGATGTGGGAGTGTAAGACGTGGTGTGAGTGATGTGGGAGTGTGAGACGTGTAGTGAGCGATGTGGGAATGTGAGACGTGGTGTGAGTGATGTGGGAGTGTGAGACGTGGTGTGAGTGATGTGGGAGTTGTGAGACGTGGTGTGAGTGATGTGGGAGTTGTGAGACGTGGTGTGAGTGATGTGGGAGTGTGAGACGTGGTGTGAGCGATGTGGGAATGTGAGACGTGGTGTGAGTGATGTGGGAGTTGTGAGACGTGGTGTGAGTGATGTGGGAGTTGTGAGACGTGGTGTGAGTGATGTGGGAGTGTGAGGCGTGGTGTGAGTGATGTGGGAGTGTGAGGCGTGTGGGGGTGTGAGTCGTGGTGTGAGTGATGTGGGAGTGTGAGACGTGGTGTGAGTGATGTGGGAGTGTGAGACGTGGTGTGAGTGATGTGGGAGTGTGAGGCGTGGTGTGAGTGATGTGGGAGTGTGAGGCGTGGTGTGAGTGAGTCGCGTGGTGTGAGAGTGATGTAGAGTGGGACATGGTGTGGGAATGAGTGATGTGGTGTGAGCGTAATGTGGTGTGGTTGTGAGTGACATGGTCCATGTGAGAGTGAGTGATGTCGTGTGAGAATGTGAGACGTGGTATGAGAATGAGTGATGCGGTGTGGGAGTGTGGTACGTGGTGTGAGTGATGTGGGAGTGTGGGACGTGGTGTGAGAGTGAGTGATGTGGTGTGAAAATGTGAGACCTGGTATGAGAATGAGTGATGTGGTGTGGGAGTGTGTAACGTGGTGTGAGTGTTGTGGGAGTGTGGTACGTGGTGTGAGTGATGTGGGAGTGTGGGACGTGGTGTGAGAGTGAGTAATGTGGTGTGAGAATGTGAGACGTGGTATGAGAATGAGTGATGCGGTGTGGGAGTGTGTAACGTGGTGTGAGTGATGTGGGAGTGTGGGACGTGGTGTGAGAGTGAGTGATGCGGTGTGGGACGTGGTGTGAGAGTGGCTGTTGGAGGCCAATGCCCGTCTCTTTATTTCTGTTGTTGCGACATCACAGGAGTTCAACTCATTGCACGTGGATTGTCTCGCCTCTAAATAACAATTGCCCACGCCATCATGTCCTTGACACATTTGCACCCAATGACTTGAGCTCTGTCAGGCAAGTCCGCACTGGCGGCCAGACGCATCCAGAACAACCGCAGTGGTCCAGAGAATTGCAGTTTTTTCTGTGCATTAATTATCAATCGGGAAGTCAGAGACCACCAACAACCAGGGCTGCACTGCATTGCAGTGCGCGTCCCATTTTAAGTGATGGGTGAAGGTAAAAGCGCAGCCCTGAATATTGCTTGCTCACAACACTGTTTGCTGGTGTCCACTATCGAGGGAGCTCGAATTAGATCCTCTAGAGGGTATGCTGGTCGAGACGGTATCTTCCAAGCCCTCTCGATTGCACCTAGGGGGTTATTTTTCCTGCTCTTCCACGGTGGCCAGATGTCTCGGAAGAGGAGGAGGTGAGTACCTACATTCTAAACCAACCATGCGTCACCTACCGTAAGAGGAGGTGAGTACCTACATTCCAAACCAACCAAGCGTCACCTGCCATAAGAGGAGGTGAGTGCCTACATTCCAAACCAACCAAACGTCACCTGCCGTAAGAGGAGGTGAGTGCCTACATTCTAAACCAACCAAACGTCACCTGCCGTAAGAGGAGGTGAGTACCTACATTCCAAACCAACCAAACGTCACCTGCCATAAGAGGAGGTGAGTACCTACATTCTAAACCAACTAAACGTCACCTGCCGTGAGAGGAGGTGAGTACCTACATTCTAAACCAACCAAACGTCACCTGCCATAAGAGGAGGTGAGTACCTACATTCTAAACCAACCAAACGTCACTTGCCGTAAGAGGAGGTGAGTACCTACATTCTAAACCAACCAAGCGTCACCTACCATAAGAGGAGGTGAGTACCTACATTCCAAACCAACCAAACGTCACCTGCCATAAGAGGAGGTGAGTGCCTACATTCTAAACCAACCAAACGTCACCTGCCGTAAGAGGAGGTGAGTACCTACATTCTAAACCAACCAAACGTCACCTACCGTAAGAGGAGGTGAGTACCTACATTCCAAACCAACCAAACGTCACCTGCCATAAGAGGAGGTGAGTACCTACATTCTAAACCAACCAAACGTCACCTACCGTAAGAGGAGGTGAGTACCTACATTCCAAACCAACCAAACGTCACCTGCCATAAGAGGAGGTGAGTACCTACATTCTAAACCAACCAAGCGTCACCTACCATAAGAGGAGGTGAGTACCTACATTCTAAACCAACCAAACGTCACCTGCTGTGAGAGGAGGTGAGTACCTACATTCTAAACCAACCAAACGTCACTTGCCGTAAGAGGAGGTGAGTACCTACATTCTAAACCAACCAAACGTCACTTGCCGTAAGAGGAGGTGAGTACCTACATTCTAAACCAACCAAACGTCACCTGCCATAAGAGGAGGTGAGTACCTACATTCTAAAACAATCAAACGTCACCTGCCGTAAGAGGAGGTGAGTACCTACATTCTAAACCAACCAAACGTCACCTGCCATAAGAGGAGGTGAGTACCTACATTCTAAACCAACCAAACGTCACCTGCCCTAAGAGGAGGTGAGTGCCTACATTCCAAACCAACCAAACGTCACCTGCCCTAAGAGGAGGTGAGTGCCTACATTCCAAACCAACCAAACGTCACCTGCCATAAGAGGAGGTGAGTACCTACATTCTAAACCAACCAAACGTCACCTGCCCTAAGAGGAGGTGAGTGCCTACATTCCAAACCAACCAAACGTCACCTACCGTAAGAGGAGGTGAGTACCTACATTCTAAACCAACCAAGCGTCACCTACCGTAAGAGGAGGTGAGTACCTACATTCTAAACCAACCAAACGTCACCTACCGTAAGAGGAGGTGAGTGCCTACATTCTAAACCAACCAAACGTCACCTGCCGTAAGAGGAGGTGAGTACCTACATTCTAAACCAACCAAACGTCACCTGCCATAAGAGGAGGTGAGTACCTACATTCTAAACCAACCAAACGTCACCTGCCCTAAGAGGAGGTGAGTGCCTACATTCCAAACCAACCAAACGTCACCTGCCCTAAGAGGAGGTGAGTGCCTACATTCCAAACCAACCAAACGTCACCTGCCATAAGAGGAGGTGAGTACCTACATTCTAAACCAACCAAACGTCACCTGCCCTAAGAGGAGGTGAGTGCCTACATTCCAAACCAACCAAACGTCACCTACCGTAAGAGGAGGTGAGTACCTACATTCTAAACCAACCAAGCGTCACCTACCGTAAGAGGAGGTGAGTACCTACATTCTAAACCAACCAAACGTCACCTACCGTAAGAGGAGGTGAGTGCCTACATTCTAAACCAACCAAACGTCACCTGCCATAAGAGGAGGTGAGTACCTACATTCTAAACCAACCAAGCGTCACCTACCGTAAGAGGAGGTGAGTACCTACATTCTAAACCAACCAAACGTCACTTGCCGTAAGAGGAGGCGAGTACCTACATTCTAAACCAACCAAACGTCACCTGCCATAAGAGGAGGTGAGTACCTACATTCTAAACCAACCAAACGTCACCTGCCATAAGAGGAGGTGAGTACCTACATTCTAAACCAACCAAACGTCACCTGCCATAAGAGGAGGTGAGTGCCTACATTCTAAACCAACCAAGCGTCACCTACCGTAAGAGGAGGTGAGTACCTACATTCTAAACCAACCAAACGTCACCTGCCATAAGAGGAGGTGAGTGCCTACATTCTAAACCAACCAAACGTCACCTGCCATAAGAGGAGGTGAGTACCTACATTCTAAACCAACCAAGCGTCACCTACCGTAAGAGGAGGTGAGTGCCTACATTCTAAACCAACCAAACGTCACCTACCGTAAGAGGAGGTGAGTACCTACATTCTAAACCAACCAAGCGTCACCTACCGTAAGAGGAGGTGAGTACCTACATTCTAAACCAACCAAGCGTCACCTGCCGTAAGAGGAGGTGAGTACCTACATTCTAAACCAACCAAACGTCACCTGCTGTGAGAGGAGGTGAGTACCTACATTCTAAACCAACCAAGCGTCACCTGCCATAAGAGGAGGTGAGTACCTACATTCTAAACCAACCAAACGTCACCTGCTGTGAGAGGAGGTGAGTACCTACATTCTAAACCAACCAAGCGTCACCTACCGTAAGAGGAGGTGAGTACCTACATTCTAAACCAACCAAACGTCACCTGCCATAAGAGGAGGCGAGTACCTACATTCTAAACCAACCAAGCGTCACCTACCGTAAGAGGAGGTGAGTACCTACATTCTAAACCAACCAAACGTCACCTGCCATAAGAGGAGGCGAGTACCTACATTCCAAACCAACCAAACGTCACCTGCCCTAAGAGGAGGTGAGTGCCTACATTCCAAACCAACCAAACGTCACCTGCCATAAGAGGAGGTGAGTACCTACATTCTAAACCAACCAAACGTCACCTGCCCTAAGAGGAGGTGAGTGCCTACATTCCAAACCAACCAAACGTCACCTACCGTAAGAGGAGGTGAGTACCTACATTCTAAACCAACCAAGCGTCACCTACCGTAAGAGGAGGTGAGTACCTACATTCTAAACCAACCAAACGTCACCTACCGTAAGAGGAGGTGAGTGCCTACATTCTAAACCAACCAAACGTCACCTGCCATAAGAGGAGGTGAGTACCTACATTCTAAACCAACCAAGCGTCACCTACCGTAAGAGGAGGTGAGTACCTACATTCTAAACCAACCAAACGTCACTTGCCGTAAGAGGAGGCGAGTACCTACATTCTAAACCAACCAAACGTCACCTGCCATAAGAGGAGGTGAGTACCTACATTCTAAACCAACCAAACGTCACCTGCCATAAGAGGAGGTGAGTACCTACATTCTAAACCAACCAAACGTCACCTGCCATAAGAGGAGGTGAGTGCCTACATTCTAAACCAACCAAGCGTCACCTACCGTAAGAGGAGGTGAGTACCTACATTCTAAACCAACCAAACGTCACCTGCCATAAGAGGAGGTGAGTGCCTACATTCTAAACCAACCAAACGTCACCTGCCATAAGAGGAGGTGAGTACCTACATTCTAAACCAACCAAACGTCACCTGCCATAAGAGGAGGTGAGTACCTACATTCTAAACCAACCAAGCGTCACCTACCGTAAGAGGAGGTGAGTGCCTACATTCTAAACCAACCAAACGTCACCTACCGTAAGAGGAGGTGAGTACCTACATTCTAAACCAACCAAGCGTCACCTACCGTAAGAGGAGGTGAGTACCTACATTCTAAACCAACCAAGCGTCACCTGCCGTAAGAGGAGGTGAGTACCTACATTCTAAACCAACCAAACGTCACCTGCTGTGAGAGGAGGTGAGTACCTACATTCTAAACCAACCAAGCGTCACCTGCCATAAGAGGAGGTGAGTACCTACATTCTAAACCAACCAAACGTCACCTGCTGTGAGAGGAGGTGAGTACCTACATTCTAAACCAACCAAGCGTCACCTACCGTAAGAGGAGGTGAGTACCTACATTCTAAACCAACCAAACGTCACCTGCCATAAGAGGAGGCGAGTACCTACATTCTAAACCAACCAAACGTCACCTGCCGTAAGAGGAGGTGAGTACCTACATTCTAAACCAACCAAGCGTCACCTACCGTAAGAGGAGGTGAGTGCCTACATTCTAAACCAACCAAGCGTCACCTGCCATAAGAGGAGGTGAGTACCTACATTCTAAACCAACCAAACGTCACCTGCCGTAAGAGGAGGTGAGTACCTACATTCTAAACCAACCAATCGTCACCTGCCATAAGAGGAGGTGAGTACCTACATTCTAAACCAACCAAACGTCACCTGCCGTAAGAGGAGGTGAGTGCCTACATTCTAAACCAACCAAACGTCACCTACCGTAAGAGGAGGTGAGTACCTACATTCCAAACCAACCAAACGTCACCTGCCGACCGACTAGCCTTGTGTGTGCACCCTTTCATTCTGCCGTTAAGTATGTTGAACTTCTTTCACACCATACGTAGCTAACCGTGGTAATCGGAGGTGATATAGAGTCGAATTTGCATTTACTTCCCTTTCTCAATCGACTGCTGGAGAAAGGCATGTAGTGTCGGTCATGGGATTTTCTGACCATACCTCACCACGCTGGTCAGTGTGGGTTGAATTGAGCGACCCAGTCTCTCGATTAAACAGCGTTGCCTGCTGCTACCACCTTTGCTGCTGATGTTGCCTGCTCTGTATAATCGAGAGAGATAATGATGTGTCGTATGTATGTTGAACTTCTTTCACATCGTACATAGCCAACTGGGCTAATCAGATGTAGTATTAGCACGGTTGGCTACATACGGTGCGAAAGAAGTTCAACGTATATACATACAGAATGATGTGTAAATTAAATTCCCGAAGAAGCTCACGGCCCGTGGAGCGAAACGTCGGACATTGTGCAGAACAAACTCTTGTTATAACCCAAACAACACTTTGGAGAGCAAACACATTCCTGCGGAGGGAGCTGGTAGGAACGTTGGGTTGCTCGGTCAATGGCCAGGGAGGGCCCACTGAGCTGTATACGATTCCGAAGTGACCTTGCCTCGAATGATGGCTCAACGAATTGGCGGCTTATAATGTAGAGATTGAGAGCAGCCGCATACTGCAAACGCATGTTGCTGATTCTCCACGTGGAGGGAAACATGTCGTGAAGATGGCCGGACGTGGTTGTTGGCCACCCACCCCCTCGTGTGTGTCGTGGGCCGCCTTTCCCACCCAGCCCCTCCCTCCCCACCCAGCCCCTCCCTTCCCACCCTCCCCTCTCCACCCACCCCTCCCATTTTTGGATGCGCGACGGACGGACACAATAATCCCCTGTGGGCTGGTGAAACCAGAAGGTTCCTACCGGTATAATTTGTCGTTTTCTTTTGAATCTCTGCACAGTGCACCCAGCGCAGTAGGAGGACAGATATGGGCTCCAGAGGGGCCCACTGCCTTCAAGTTGCTCTTGTCTGCTCGCTTCTGCTCAGCGCTGCTCAGCAACATCTCTGACTGCGATGAGACCTTCAACTACTGGGAGCCTGTAAGTTTATGTGTGTGTGTCCCCCCCTCCCCTCCACATTTTGTGTTCTACTCGGGAGTGGCCAGACTGAGTGCGCTACATCGTTCCCCGTGGGTGTTGTGGTCGATTCAGATAAAACTAAATGTAAAAGAAATCCGTCCGTTGTCCGATCCATTGCCGGATGAATGCCTTCTCCCGTGCGATGTCATTCATGTGGGTTGTTTGTTCATACTTCAGCGCACTCAGTGTAGGTAAGGGGGGGAGGTCCAGGACCGGTTCGGATATCGCTCGCCACTGACGTTGACTGTGACCGGGAATTAAACTCACGTCGCCGGCTTTATAGCGCAGTGCGCTGACAATTGCTCCACCAGTCCATCTATACCTGCAATTACATCTGGACACATTTTCACAATTTTTACGGGCGGTGACCATAAGAGGCTGGGTGTTTGTAATGAACACTTTATTTGCATGATACGGTGAACTGTCGGTATGATATTCCCGCTTTGTGCATTTTCCCACATCTATCATCTTGTTTTTTTAAAGTTGCAAAAAACATCCCTAACAAAACAATGTGCAGTAAATGTTCCCCAATATAACATTGTCCCTAACATAATACAGGGTGTTTCAAAAGATCGACCCAATTTCAAAGCAGTATATTTCACGATGGCAACATGTTACAATTACACAAAAAGTTACAAACGGTTTAGTGAGTTATAAACTTTTACTAACCATTTTATAAATGCTCAGTGTGTCCTCCACCTGCTGTACGGACAACATCGAGACGATAGTTAAATTCGTCCCAAACGCCTCTCAAAGTGTCTTCTTCCACTAAAGTCACCGCTGCCGTGATTCTGTTTTTGAGGTCATCCAGATTAGTCGCTAATGGTGGCACAAAAACACGGTCTTTTGTGCCACCACGCTCTTTGACATTGGCGGATCAATGCCAAAACGCCGTTGAAACGCACGCTGCACCACAATTACGGATTCAGTCTTGCTGAACTGCAGAACGCAAAACGCCCCTTGTGTTGCGGGGTCACCATCTTGCGAATGACCGAGGCTAGAGGCTGTTTGTGCGCTGGAAGAGGCATCTAGCGGTAATCATTTGAAACTCTATGCCCCGCCTTCTCGATGCCCCGCCCTTTCATTCATGGGCGGTTCGTGGTTGCAGAGATATAGTGATTTCAAATCGGGTCCATCTTTTTCAGACACCATCTATAGCAAAATGGCTGATCCCCTGAAAACTATCAAGGGTTCACAATGTTGAATGGCTAAGAATTATCTAAATGTTTGACTGGTTAAGGCAGCTAGACTAGAGCAATGACGAAATGAAAGCCACGGACTCAGACTTGACTAAAATTCAGCAGGTTGTCATCGACTATAGTAGGACTTTAAATATGTTTTTTGAATGCTGACTCTCAATGACCACTGGCCTAGCATTATTGGAGTAACGGTCTAGGGCAGGGGTCGGCAACCTGTGGCTCTGTAGCTGCATGCAGGATTTTGGATGCACCCTTGCGGGCAGCCATTTAAAAAAAAAGTAAATCTTAAACATAATTTAACGTTAAGATGATTGATTAAATATGGCAGGGAATGGGTCACTATGGAATGTCTTATTGACAACAAAATGTACAAACTGTATTGTTTAAAGAATAAGGGGGAAAAAACGACGTAGACTTAGTTTATTTCATTGCCTATTTTTGTTTAGGTAAGGCAGAATTTGTTTGTCATCTGCTGTATAACTGCTGCTGTATTTGTGTGCGTGTAAAAGTTGCTCTACGTGTGATGCGGTTCTCGACCTATTCTTGTCAAAGACACAAAAAATGGCTCTTCTTCTTTGAAAGGTTGCCCACCCCTGGTCTAGGGAGACGAAACCCAGCGAGCGTCTGTTGGGCCCCGTGCATTTCAGACGCACTACCTGCTGTACGGCACAGGGTTCCAGACGTGGGAGTACTCCCCCGATTACGCCATTCGCTCATATGCCTACCTCTGGCTGCTGGCCATCCCCGGCTGGTTCCACAGCCGGGTCCTGCAGGCCAACAAGGCAAGTTGACGCTGAGCGGTCCGTTTCCGCATTGAGCCGTTCCTGTCGCGAATACGGGTGCTGGGCAGTTACGCGATTTCAGTCGTACGTTTCAGACGTGCTATGGATGTGGGCGGCGATTGATCATGAGTGTAATCGCGAAGTGGTTTTTGCTTTTACTCTGGATTAGTACGTGATGTAAATGATTTGTAATTGTTCATTACTGCGTTGTAAAATGTTGTGGATCGCTCTTCAATCAATTGGCATGGTTATTCACATGGCAACTTTATTTATAAAATATGGCTGTGTCAGGTGCTGGAGGGTGTACGACACACTGGCATATTACTCACGAGATCTGAATCCTAAAATATATATTTGTAATCATATTGGTCGTGAAAACCTTGATGTTAAATCTGTAATTAGAGTAAACTTTTTTATTGTATTCGTTTTGTGTTTTGCTTATATTGTCCATGTGCTGCAGGTGATGGTGTTTTACTTCCTGCGCTGTGTTTTGGCCTTCAGCTGCTGCCTCTGCGAGTTGTACTTCTACAAGTGAGTTACATTAACGCGTTCATGTACAGCCCTTTGGTCAATCCACCGCTAGATGAGGGTCTCTCAAATGCCGTGAGTGTCATGAGGTTATCATTAGAGCTTCATGCCGTCGGCTTGTGCGGGTTGGTCAAGATCATAGACCTGGGAGCGTAAAAGTACAATGCAACAATGGGTTTTGCCGTACTTCCGTCTGCTGCCTTCCACGTGTCTCCGAACCCCCAAGCAATGTTGACGAATGGACTGGAGTTTGTTCGGGTTTTACCAAGTGTTGTCCTACATGGAGGAGTGGTAATGTGGCCAAGCGGCATTGAGGCTCTTACATCCAATGTGTCCGTCTCCCCTAGAGCTGTGTGCAAGAGGTTTGGCCTCCACGTGGCCCGGCTAATGCTGGCCTTCCTGGTGTTGAGTCCTGGCATGTTCCTCTCGGCTGCCGGTAAGGAGTTAACGACAGTCAATGCACAAGCCATCTTAAAACAAAGGTTTTCGTAGCCAATACAACGACTGATATTTGTTATAGGGGTAAGGTACATAGTAGTTTCATACCAAAATTTTTGACTTTAACCCTTTGCCACCAAACAAGATTTTCAGTGAATTTTATTGTCAGTGAGGTGGTTTATTGGTCAGAATCTCATCGATATATTGGCATGTATAAATAATATCCTTGTAAGTGTGACAATCATGTTGGTTAGTGGAGGGTTGATGACAACAATTTTGGAATTAAAAAAATACTGATGTCAGGGTCCAGATGCGAAAATTATTCCCAAATTACTTTTTTGGGATTATATGTTTTGCAATCATCGACCCCGTACTGCCAGACTAATGCCCCTGGTCACTCTGTCAAATGAGATGAGATCTTGGTATCTTGCTTTTCACATGGTTTAACAAAATAAACTTGAAACTTTATCCGAGTGCTGTGCAGGTATTTTATTTTTACATATGTCATCATCATCAGCAGTGATTGATCCACTGCTGGATGAAGGTACATTAAACCTGGGCTGTGGAGAATCCAACAATCCCCTTAGTACCTGCACAGGAGCAGATGTCATCATCTCTGCGGTGGACATGTATGTTCAGTACAACCTTGTGCATCCAACTGTCACATATTTGCCCAGTTAACCGCCCACACCTAGTGCAGTATTTGTGTATGATGGTGTAACTGTCAATTTGTACAGATGTTCACAAATTCACAGCTTTTCACATGCAGAAATATATCCTTAATCTCGCGTGCAACTTCGTGCAGTGCACTATTTGCGCGTGGTGTAATCCTCTCAAGGCGTTCACATATATCTGCGTACTATACCTCGAACTCCCGGCACTTCTGATATGCGGCGTCGTACTCGATTCGTACATGAACATCTGTGTGTACGTTTTTTCTCCTCTGTAGCATACCTGCCCAGCAGCTTCTGCATGTACACGACGCTGCTCGCCCTCTCGGGCTGGTTCCTGGGCCACGACGGGGTCGCTGTCCTCTCCATCGCTGCCGGCGCCATCGTGGGCTGGCCCTTCAGCGTGCTGCTCGGGTGAGTGCCACGCTCGTTCCCCCCCCTCCTCACCCCCCCCTCCTCACCCCACCGCCCCTCAACCGCTCCCTTGACTCGCGCCTCCCTGCGTTGGCGGACTTCTCTGGTCAGAGGCGAGCCGGCTGGGTTTAATGTGGGGGCGGGGGAGCCTACGGCTCATGGGCCGCATGCAGCCTGCAACTTGATTTCACACGGCCCGTGGCAGACAACAAGGCCTACCACTTAGAAGCGACCACCAAATTATAATGATCTGTTACTGCAAGTATCTTCGCCGCCACACTAATCAGGTACTGGAGGGGAATATTTTTGACCAAATAACACGGTGTTTTTAGATTTAGTGTGCTCGGTGGCAGAAGTATCTGAGTTGCTTGTAAGTAAATGTGTATGGTCTATTTTACGTATTTCACTCAACACGATGAACTTCCTCGACCTCTCTTCTTCCTCTTGACATGCGTGTTATAGTAACTGACCCGGTGACCCGTGAGGCTATGGGTGATGTTAGTTGACCCTTGAGCCACCATGGCCAGAGGTGATCGTGGAGTGCTACTGGTCAACGTTAACGTGATGGCTTCCCCTGCAACTGTCTCCTTCACAGGATCCCCATTGCGGTCGACCTGCTGCTGAGGAAAGCGCACGTGAAGGACTTCCTTTGGTGGTGCTTGGTCGCGCTGCTCGTGTTTTTGGTAAGAGCAGGCCTGGCACGTGCTCACGAATGGCCAGCACAGACGCAGCACAACCGCTCGGCTTTGCTGACGGGTTTAATCGTGACAGTGATAGGTTACCGAGTTGCTGATTCATTGAACTTATGCGTGAAATAACAGACGAATTAAATACAACAGCGATGAAATATAACAATAGGCTTTACCCTTTCTAGCAATAAAACATGTTAAGGCATCAAGTCTACATTTGCCACACATACAGTGAGGGAAAAAAGTATTTGATCCCTTGCTGATTTTGTACGTTTGCCCAGTGACAAAGAAATGATCAGTCTATAATTTTAATGGTAGGTTTATTTGAACAGTGAGAGACAGAATAACAACAACAAAATACAGAAAAATGCATGTCAAAAATGTTATAAATTGATTTGCATTTTAATGAGGGAAATAAGTATTTGACCCCTCTGCAAAACATGACTTAGTACTTGATGGCAAAACCCTTGTTGGCAATCACAGAGGTCAGACGTTTCTTGTAGTTGGCCACCAGGTTTGCACACATCTCAGGAGGGATTTTGTCCCACTCCTCTTTGCAGATCTTCTCCAAGTCATTAAGGTTTCGAGGCTGACGTTTGGCAACTCGAACCTTCAGCTCTCTCCACAGATTTTCTATGGGATTAAGGTCTGGAGACTGGCTAGGCCACTCCAGGACCTTAATGTGCTTCTTCTTGAGCCACTCCTTTGTTGCCTTGGCCTTGTGTTTTGGGTCATTGTCATGCTGGAATACCCATCCACGACCCATTTTCAATGCCCTGGCTGAGGGAAGGAGGTTCTCACCCAAGATTTGACGGTACATGCCCCCGTCCATCGTCCCTTTGATGCCGTGAAGTTGTCCTATCCCCTTAGCAGAAAAACACCCCCAAAGCATAATGTTTCCACCTCCATGTTTGACGGTGGGGATGGTGTTCTTGGGGTCATAGTCAGCATTCCTCCTCCTCCAAACACGGTGAGTTGAGTTGATGCCAAAGAGGTCCATTTTGGTCTCATCTGACCACAACACTTTCACCCAGTTGTCCTCTGAATCATTCAGATGTTCATTGGCAAACTTCAGACGGGCATGTATATGTGCTTTCTTGAGCAGGGGGACCTTGCGGGCACTGCAGGATTTCAGTCCTTCACGGCGTAGTGTTACCAATTGTTTTCTTGGTGACTATGGTCCCAGCTGCCTTGAGATCATTGACAAGATCCTCCCGTGTAGTTCTGGGCTGATTCCTCACCGTTCTCATGATCATTGTAACTCCACGAGGTGAGATCTTGCATGGAGCCCCAGGGAGATTGACAGTTCTTTTGTGTTTCTTCCATTTGCTTGGCAAAGCTGCTTGGCAATGGTCTTGTAGCCCATTCCAGTCTTGTGTAGGTCTACAATCTTGTCCCTGACACCCTTGGAGAGCTCGTTGGTCTTGGTGGAGAGTTTGGAATCTGATTGATTAATTGCTTCTGTGGACAGGTGTCTTTTATACAGGTAACAAGCTGAGATTAGGAGCACTCCCTTTAAGAGTGTGCTCCTAATCTCAGCTCGTTACCTGTATAAAAGACATCTGGGAGCCAGAAATCTTTCTGATTGAGAGGGGGTCAAATACTTATTTCCCTCATTAAAATGCAAATCAATTTATAACATTTTTGACATGCGTTTTTCTGTATTTTGTTGTTGTTATTCTGTCTCTCACTGTTCAAATAAACCTACCATTAAAATTATAGGCTGATCATTTCTTTGTCAGTGGGCAAACGTACAAAATCAGCAGGGGATCAAATACTTTTTTCCCTCACTGTACTTATGGCAAAACATGTAAAGAAACATGCTCTGATAACATATCCATTGTCTTTGAAACTGATTATGGCCTTATCTCACCAGTGATATTAATGGAATATATTTGTATTAATAATAATAATCCACAATTTTATTCCGATTGGATACTTTGTCTCATGACACCATCATATCATGAGACGAAGTATCCATTCAGATCTCCCACAGAGCAGCGCGGGTCCTCCTTGTTACGAGAACGGCCCGCAGAAGCGGGTATCTCAGAGCTACCTTTGAGATCCCTTTAAGAGATCCCTAGTCCACACAGTAGGGGGCAACACCTTCCACCCAACCTACATGCACTTAACAGCCACGGACAAGAGAGCGCATCAAATGTGGGTAATGTAAATTAATAGATCCGATTGATATGTTCATCTCGATTGCACTAACCTCACGCCCGCTCCGTTTTGCTGGTGCCCACAGTTGCCCGTGGTGCTGGTGGACAGCTACTACTACGGCAAGCTGGTGTGCGCGCCACTCAACATCATCCTCTACAACGTCTTCACACCGCACGGGCCAGATCTCTACGGTGAGCCTGCCCACCGGCAGCCAAGCTGTCGATGGCACAGGCGGTGCAACTGCATCGCGGCCCACGCGGCCGTAGGGTAGATGGGTACCCAGGTGCCGGCCTATAAAGAGGAGGCAAACTAGATGGGGTACGGGGGGGCCCAGTTTGTTCCTTGCACCAAGGTCCATGCCAACGCCGCTCTGCAGCTGCACCGGGCCACCTCCAGGGTACAAAATGATTGAAAACCGCTTACCGTGTTGAAACGGCCTCGTGTCAACGGGGGTATCTTGTGCCTCCAGGGACGGAGCCGTGGACCTTCTACTTTGTGAATGGCTTCCTCAACTTCAACATCGCGTTCCCGCTCGCCCTGCTTGCCCTGCCGCTGGCAATGCTCACCGAGTCTCTTCTCTCCAAGTACAATAGTAAGGCTCAGTGTGGTCACAGTATGGTCACGGTGTGTGTGCGTGTGTGTGTTGGGGCGTCACGTGTGATTGTGTTGTTGCGGTGTCGCGTGCGATTGTGTGTTGGCATGTCGTCATGTGCGATTGCTTGCTGTGGCATGGTTGTGTGTTGGGGTGTCGTGTGTGATTGTGAGTTGAGGTGTTGTATTTGGCTGCGATAAATTTCCACGCGATAAGCCAATTTGTGACCAGGTCTCTTTTGATCAAGAGTTACATAGCTCAGTGGGCCTTACCTGATCAAATAAACAATAGTTTAGGTTGTGTGACAGTGAGTTGGGATGTCGTGAGTGATTGTGAGCTGGGGTGCCGTGCGCGATCGTCTCAGTCCAGCACCTGGGGCGGCCCTATTGGCTGTCGCTGTCTCCGTTCTACCTGTGGCTGCTCGTGTTCATCGCCCAGCCGCACAAGGAGGAGCGCTTCATGTTCCCCGTGTTCCCGCTCGTGTGCCTGCACGGCGCCGTTGCGCTCTCCGCGCTGCAGGTACCGCGTGCTCTCGGTTCGCGCTTCACGCCGTACGATGGCACGCTTGAAAGTCGACGTGTCTCTATTCCCATTTATCGTGGCGTGGGGGGGAGCGGTGGCGCAGCGCGGAGTGGCACCGCGTTTTGAACCCGGTGGTTTGAGTTTCGATTGCCGACCACGGCTAATGCCAATGGCGATGATATCCGAACTGGTCATGGGCCCTTCCCTTCACCAAACCGCATTGGCCACTGTGTGTCCAAGCAGCCACCAATGGGGTGGAGAGGCCTTTAGCAGTGGACTGACAAAAGTTCTATACATTTGTACACCGCCTTATCCCTCCCCATGCAGAATTTGGCGAGACCTAGGTTCGATTTCCTGCCACATCTAATATCAATGGGTGACCTGTCCTCAGCGTGCCGTAGGTCAACTCGTCCTTAATTCGGTGTCCGGTGCAGTGTGTTAGCATCAGAACTGGGGAGACAATGGCAGTCGGGCATGACCGCTGGTTGCTCTTTCTGTGCCATGCCTGGCCTCAATAGGCGCTCGCTCCCAACATTGGCCCCAACAGTCTTCTTTTTCACCGTACGTAGCCAACCGCGCTAATCGGAGGTGCGGGGGAAGGGCAACAAACTAAATACAAAAAGCAGCGCTAATATCGAAAGAGTGTTCCAGACGGCTGCAGATACACTTTTAAAGGCTCCACGGAGGATCTCTTTGTCTCTGTATGTGGGTGCAGAAGTGCTACCATTTTACGTTTTGGCGCTACCGTCTGGAGCACTACACTCACTCATCGCAGTGGCTGGCGCTGTCCGCACTTGCGCTGTTCTCTGTGCTCTCAGCCTCGCGGACGCTCGCTCAGTTCAAAGGCAAGTCGACTCTCGCGTGCACACTCAGGGACTCGTGGCCCCGTCTGTTTTACTGCGTGGAGGGCATTGACGATTCAGCACTTCTTACACTTTATGAAAATCAAAAGAAACTCTTTGGACAGATAATCGCTTGCAGGCTGGAAACAAGCAGGAATAATGATACACACAAAGGATGATTTTGAGACTGCAAAAGGCAGAATTGTGACCAGAGGATTAATCTGGTCATCATGCTTTGGATGTCACGTGAGACGCAAGGCATGATGGGAAGACTGACAGAAGTGACTGGAGTGCATGTGAATGTGTGGCTCACCAAAGCTATTTGAAGTCCTATTCTGTCCTCATTAATGAAGAGATTCCACACTGATTTAAAGCTTTCGTGACTGCAAGGATTCATCTTCTTTGGTTCTTTCGGTAAAGTCACGTAGAATGAGAATAAAATAATAAATTGATAAAATAAAATAACACAAGAAAATTCTCACGACGTTTCGGCCACAACACAAGCGGCCTTCATCCAGACAGTCTCATCCCTTCACCTGATGAAGGCCGCTTGTGTTGTGGCCTAAACGTCGTGAGAATTTTATTGTGTTATTTTATTTTATCATTTTATTATTTTATTCTCATTCTACGTGACTTTACCGAAAGAACCAAAGAAGAAGATTCCACACTCCTACTACACTACAAGAAGAACTTTGGCATAGCCTCCGGGTCAACAAAACACCGGTTGAGTTAGAGAACGTCCTTGATGGTTGTTTTATCCATTTGGTTTTCCCCGCCTGGTCGCGTGTAGGGTACCACGCCCCTCTGGACCTGTTTACAGAGTTCCACCGCGTGGCGGCCGACCCCAGCATCCACACGCTGGCTGAGGGGAAAACGGTGAACGTGTGCATCGGCAAGGAGTGGCACAGATTCCCCACGCACTTCCTGCTCCCTGAAGCGTAAGGAGGAGGCAGGGGGGAGGGGGCGGAGGCAGCGGGGGGCGTGTCTGGAGCAATGTCACGCAACGGGAATGAGAGGCAGGCAGAAGATTTTGTTTTTGCTAAATGAGGAGGTCTTTAGTTTTGGTGAGGTTCGTTTGGAGAAAGTCTGAACCAGCCCCAGAGTGTATGGTGCCGTTTTTAAATTTGTGTTGTGTAATTTTATGAATTCTCACTTTCTGTGGCTGTTTGCTTCGTGATCAGTGTTAGAAACCGCTGAATCACTCTGCACTAAATCATTGGCTCACCTCCAACACCTGCCTAATGCTTTGGGGTATAATGATTCTTCGAGTCATCAATTGCATGGTGTATGTAAGAATCAGATATTTTATGTTTTGTATATGCTGTGAGTAATTAGTCAACTTGATCCCTGCAGGCAAAAGAGGTGCTACAGTTCCGCCACATAAAAAAAATATATGTAATTTAATCTCGACTTAAATCGCACTGACAAAATAGGAACGGATCAGCCAGTGTCACAAGGAGGAATCGTTGAGCAGCATTATCATCGTCGTCGCTGTCTTTAAGGCTAAAAGCGTTCTTCTGCAGTCGCCAACGTTGCCTGCCGTGGTCGCTCAACGCCGTTCGTGCCACCGCTGCCAATCGCCCTCCTCTGTGTTCCTGTGCAGAAACTGGAAGCTGCAGTTCATCGCGTCGGAGTTCCGGGGGCAGCTGCCCAAGCCGTACCCGCCAGGAGACGACGCGACGCGGATCGTCCCCTCCCACATGAACGACCAGAACCGCGAGGAGGCGTCGCGATACGTGCGTACCGCGGCAGCGCCTGTTTACTGCATCTCCCGATTAGCACGGTTGGCTACGTACGGTGCGAAAGAAGTTCAACGTACATATAACACGTTTGGTTCCGTACGCCGCGAAATAAGTTCAACATAATATAGAATTGAAGCCTTCGTGACTGCATAAATTGCTATACTCATTGTTTTTTTCGGTAAGGTCACGTACGTAGAAAATTATATTGAAATAATAAATCACGACGTTTTTAGCAGTCTTCTGAAATTCGTGGTTAACCAGGTCAGTGTCTAACTGTGTTGTTGGCCGACTGGTTTTGCAACGCGTTATTTTTCTTAGGTTTGTTGAGTTCTCGTCTCTCATCTTCTTGTTATTGTATTTGCCTCCGTGCAGTTTAACGTTCTCTATGTGCTACGTACGTGATGTCCCCCTATGTGCTCCCTCACTATTTGTTTTACGCCTGATGATGATCGCTTGTGTTGCGTTCGAAACGTCGTGATTTATTATTTTAATATAATTTTCTACATACGTGACTTTACCGAAAAAACCAATGAGTAAAGTCCAACGTACATACATACATACGTAGCGCAATTTCTGCTCGTGGTCGTCGGCACATGATCACGGCAACCCTGTGTGACCCAATCTCACTGTGGAATGTGACCCCAATCCCCGCCGGCAGCTAAGTGTGGGATGAGCTTGGTCAGCGCTTAGATGGGCGTGTTTGCATGTATGTTGAACTTCTTTCGCACCGTACGTAGCCAAGCGTGGTAATCGAAGGTGCGTGCCAGCTGTTGCAGGCGGTCACGCATGCGAGGGGATAACAGTGGATGGGCGACCCCCTCCCCCCTGGGAGTTGCCCTTGAACAAGTGCTTGCTCGCTCAATGGATCTTCCCCCAGGATATACGTACAGTACAATAACATTGGTGTTGTAGGCTGCAGCTACTGGGCTATCTGTGGACAGCAGAGGTCAGTGCAGCAAAAGCCATTGGACTGTACTTCCATGCTCCCACTTCTATGCTGCCGGCTTCACCAACCCCTCTGGCCAGCGTGGTTACGTGTGGTCAAACGAGAACCCCCACACTCGGGAGGCCTTCATCCGTCAGTGGATTGTACAATCCGGTTTACGGCTGTCATTGTTTTTTTTATTTTAAACAGTGTTCTGAAACAACCATGACCGGCGCGGCATAGCTAACGTGTGTGCAGGCGGTGCACCTGTGCCGGGCCTTGTGGGCCAGAGGGTCCCGGGCTACGAAGAGAAGGGGAAAAGTTGGGTCAGGGGGCTGGGCCCCCCTCCACCCACCCCATTTAGTTCCTCGCGCGAGTGCCCGTGCCAACCACGGTGCGCCACTGGAGACGCCGGTCGCAACGCCAACTGCCTCGCCACGCTTGTGGTCCAATGGCCCTGGCGGCGTGCCCGCAGGTCGACGTGAAGCAGTGCCACTACCTGGTGGACCTGGACAGGGATGTGGAGACGGAGCGCGAGCCCCGCTACGCCACCAGGACGGAAGAGTGGAGCGTCGTCGCATACAGGCCCTTCCTCGATGCGGCCAGGTGCGTACGGCGTCCGTCCATCTGTAGCGGGAAGGGGGGGGGGGGGGGTGGTGGGCCGCTATAACGCTACGAACAAAAACTCGAGTATAAAGTTGCATTGATTATTAGGGAATCATCCTGGAGAAAACTGGATGAATCGATGAAAGGGAGCTACCAAAAATTTGGGAGGCACAAACCAAAGGAAAAAAATATTTGCCCTGATAGCTGCCCATTGGTTTAAGGCTAAGCAGAAAGCGTGCACAATAGACTGAACAGACCCAGATGGAAAGATATGTGCATGAAGGATGTGTTGTCCACTGTTGAGGCATGAAGTGTGTGAGGTCTCTACAGGAGAAGAGAGCACCCACTAAGGCTAGTGCTTGAAACTCCCCCACCAATAACGACTACGTTTTCAAGATCTGAAACTGGATTTGTCAGTCCAGGGTTGGACTCGTCTCCCATGTGATAGCTGAACTGTCATCTGTTGCAGCGATAGGAGAATGCAGATGATGAAATGCTTTGGGAAACAATACATAATCCACCTAATTCGTAAAAAGCAAGAATACGTGGAGCAACTGGAGGAATCTACTATTTCACTCTAATGAAATGCAACAGGAATTTAAGTAGGGGAAATTTAGCGCATTGAATGGAGGAGCTGTAGCCGAGGTGGTAGGCCACGAGCCGGCTTCGTTTAACATGTGAAGGACATGGATTCCGATCTCTGGCTCATAATTTTTATTTTCATTTGCCCCGAGTTAACAACATGGAGAGTACTTCATCCAGCAGTAGATTAAAAAAGGGCTGTAAACTACGTATTCTTATTTTATTCTCTTTACTGTACTAATATTGCCACTGCATTTTCCAAAAATAGAAACATAGGTTTAGATTATTTGGCCACTATAAATTTCCACGTGATAAGCCACTACGTTGAGCTGTTATTTGTGGCTCGGTCGCTTCTGAAAAGAAGCTTACAGCTCAGTGGGCCTTACCTGGTAAAATAAAAATAAATGTTTCTTTAAATGTTTTTAGTGATTTTCTTACCTCTCCTTTAATTTGCACTCCTATCGTGTTTTTAGTCTTGTTTGTTGTAACTTTATTACCCGTCCCTATTGGGCATCTGTGGAAAAGGGCTTCATAGCTCATCGGATTCCTCCATTATAAATAAAGATTCTGATTTTGGTGCTAGTGCGAGACTCACTTCCGTTCTCTCTCCATCTCTCTCTTTGTCTCTCGGTGGCTTAACACGCGCAGCTCGTCCAAGCTGTTGCGCGCGTTCTACGTTCCGTTCCTGTCGTCTCAGCACGTCGTCTACCGAAACTACACCATCCTGAAGACGCGGAGAACCGGGCCCGGCAAGAAGAAGCGCATGAGGTTTCCGTGACGGCGTGCCGAAGCGACGGTGCACTATTTTCGAGCCGCGCGTTGGCGATGCGTTTTCCGGTTGCGCCGCGCGTTGTCGGGGGCGCGGCGTTCCGATTTTCTGCTCTGGCGTGATAGCCGGGAGCTTCTTCAGGAGCTGAATTAATTTCCTTAATTGAATTTAGATCAGTTTAAAACTACTATTTAAGCTGTTTTTTTATTTTGACCAGGGAAGGCCCACTGAGCTATATAGCTCTTTTTCTTGAACGGCCTGGTCACAAATGATAGCTCAATGAAGTGGCCTCTCATGTGGAAATTTATAGTAAGCCAAATACTCTAAACGCATGTTGATTCTAAATGTGGAGGGAAAAACCAGAATACTCTGAGAAAATTCACGTGAGCACGGAGAGAACACGCAAACTCCGAATATACAGGCGTCAGGGTCGGGATCGAACCAACAGACTCGTGCATATCAGGTGAGGTATTTAACATCTCACCACCATGGTGCTGCAGAAGGTACCAGCCATATAGAGCAAAACTTCGGTACGTTGGAACTGAATTCAGGAACCGAACTGAACGCAGTTCCCGAACCTTCCCAGCGCACGGAGAAAAGCGTCGGTACGTCGGGAACTGAATTCAGCAACCGCTTTGAATTGAATTCAGGAACTGTCAGTGAGTTCCTTGAGAAGCTCCCCAGCACACGGAGCGAAACGTCGGACTACGTAACCGTGCGGCACGCAGCAAGACCCAAAGCGCACTGTCGGAGAGAGCCGTGCAAGCGCGACTCCGGGAAAAACTCGGGAGTGTTGTGCCGCATTGCAGCGAGCGCTCGTTACGAGCGGTGGAAAAACGGTTCGATCGTTGATGGCCTTTTTATTCAGGTATTCTCGCACGCGTGTTCAATGACGATTTTACAAAAATAAATGAACGCAAAGCATTTAATTATCGCTCGCAGGTCTTCAGGGCGTGCGTGTTGGTGGGGTGGGGGAAAAAGCTTTGCGTTAATGAACATTGGGATCCACTTGTCACTTGTGTTCGTCCCAGCTGTGTATTTCCTCGGTGTTTATTTTTTTGGCCCAGGTAACATAACAAAAAGGTTATTTGACTGATGAGTACAATGTTTGTACGTGTAGTAGATGATGGATATAAGCACACCCCATGGGAGCAAGGTCAGCTGTGCTTGTATCAGAAGGCGTGAGCCAGTATCAGAAGTTACCCTTTGACTTGCGCGCCCACCAGTGTAATGTATTTGACCAGGGAAACCCCACTGAGCTATATAGCTATTTTTTCAGAAGCGACCTGACCACAAATGATAGCTAAACGAAGTAGCTTATCATGGGGAAATTTATCGCAGCCAAATACTCGAAACGCACGTTTCAAACTCCAAATATACAGGCGTCAGGGTCGGGCTCAAACCCAAGACATCCTGTATACAAGGCGAGGTGGTTAACATCTCGCCACCCCTGCGCCCTGTTTCTTATATCAGAACTGTGCTTATAGTAAGATGTGCTTATATTCATCCAGCTTCTACTGTGCTTCGAATAAATGGGGAAGCCTGAGCTGATGGTGGCAAAACAATTACTGCAACAAGAGAATACGAACATGTGGTTGGTAAATTTAAATAAGTTGAGTACATTCCTCCTACGTCCGGACAGACGTCGCTGTTCCTGCCAAAGTCGGGCGTCACGTCACGCGAGGTCACGAACCTTTCGATCAGCCGTCATAAGTTAACCGGATGCAACATCTCTTAACACCGTGCAGGTGTAGCTTTGGCTTCTGTGAAGACTACCAGAGAGCCTCATACAAGTACAGTACATGTCCACATATCCGACCATCGCATAAACTCTGACCGATTAAATCACCCACGTCTAGTGCAGTATTTTGCATGGTGCAACTGCCATTATCCATAGATGCTTTTTCACATATCTGCCGGATTCCTCAGTCACAAGCGAGTCGGATATGCAACATTGTACTGTCCCGCTAAATCGACCTGCTAAGGTCGCAAAGGATTACGTGATACATTTCTAATTGCGCGTAGCAAAAGCGGTGAGTGTAGTTCTTTGGATAATGCTGTATTCGACTGTACAAGTGCATTCCACTGCTGGATGAGTGTCTCCCTACGCCTTGTGCCATGGGGGGCATTCAATCACACTTTACCACACTGGCCAGTGCGGGTCGATGGACGTGGGGAGCATAGTTGTGGGAGCATAGCACAGTACAACACCGGATTTTGCTGTACTGCCAAATACTGCTGCCCACCACCAGCCTACAACACCTGTTGTGCGTGACAATCACCTATCCAAGCATTATCCAGGCTGAAACCTGTATAGCCTTTGAGATCTCACCGGATCGGGCGCATTCCGAGTGATTTGGTGAGTGGCTGTACTTTAATATTCCATGGACTTGAATGATGATGATGATGATTATGCACAACTCTGTTATTTTACTTGTAACTGAAGCTTTATGATGACCAAACCCTCGGGACCAGGGTGAGCTCACGGTTTGTGGATATGGACTTAAAAGGCTGGTGCATTAACATTTGCTGTGTAGTCATTGTTGAGAAAGGCTAAATCCTGATGGTCAGCTGTTATATATGTGTATATACGTAACACATGTAAAGCACAGGCTCAAAGGCCCGAAACACTTAAGTGGCCAGCAACAAACAGCATTGTTGAAGTTGCGATAGACGAGTGTAAATTTGTTTCTTGCACTGAGAAAAGTTATACGAGCTGGGGAGAAGAGATCATGGGAGAGAATTCTAAGTAACCAGGAGAGATAAATGTTGTGACCTGCAGCGTGGTGGCCGGTTGAACAGCACGGTGGATGAGATGAAACAGTCCGCTAGACCGCGTCTTCAACGTGGGTGGAGGATTCGATGTTCTAGGGAACAATAACCATCGTACCGTAGTAGTCGCCACGATAGAAGAGTATTAAAGAGGTGACTCGGGAGTGAATCGATGAGCGCTGGATCATCACTCAATCCGACTGTCTTGGAAGATGTTGGGACGGACCGGTCGCATCATCAGTGCCCGAGTGTGTCCCCAAGTTTTTCCCTGCTTTTTGTCCACGTGTCCTCTGTTACCAAGGTAACGCCTATGATATACATTGTAGCCGTGTTTTGTTTTCCCCCAATTTTTTACTATGTTGGAATTTAAATTGCTTGGAGATATTTAAGCAGATTGGTGTCGATAGCTTACCCTATGGGTCAAACGTGGAAGTGATTCAATGTTGCAACATGTAAAGCGAAATAAACTGCACCCTGTGGTCACAGAAAATAAACTTGAACTGGATCTTTCGTACAGTACCTTATTTCTGTGCAATTACTGTGGCAATGTCCTGTAAAGGAACGTACCCAGGATCAGTTGAGACATCACCTGTCACTGATGTTAGTCGTGGCCGGGAATGGAACTGATGTTCCTGGGTTCAAAGCACAGTGAGCTAACCGCTGCACCATCCCCCCCCCCCCACCTTCACATATGATTTACATTATTATAAATCGAGTAATAAGCGCATTACTTTGAAGGATGAGTGGAACATGATGACTGTACAATGGATTACGCGTATCTTCTTTACCGGACTTCGAAACAATATTGGGTTATACCGAGAAATTTCTGCCCTGGCATCAGTCATTAAAACACATTCCTGCGGAGGGGGCTGGTAGGAACGTTGGTTGCTCGGTCAGTGGCCAGGGTCAACGGCGGCACCACGTGGTGTATTCCGCAAATATGCCCGACTGAGGGCGGGCACAAGCCGGCGTGAGTAGGTTCAACGTTCAGTTTTATAAGGGCACCACGGGGTGACCAGCCCCACCCCACCCAGCCCCACCCCTCCCAGCCCCACCCTTCCCACCCAGCCCCTCCCCACCCTCCCCTCCCCACCCAGTTCCTCCCCACTCAGCCCCTCCCTACCCTCCCCTCTCCACCCAGCCCCACCCCTCCAATTTTTTCTATCCGAATGTCCGGATACACTTGGACAGACATCCACAGACATACACAATTAATCCCCTACCTCCTGTGAATGAATCCCGGCTGGAATTCCAGTCCACTACGTTTCCTACCAGTAATGCCCACTAGGAGCGCATTTGTTATATATCCGGGTGTCTGGATACACGTGGACAGACATCCACAGACATACACAATTAATCCCCTGCCTCCTGTGAATTAATCCCGGTTGGACTTCCAGTCCACTACGTTTCCTACCAGTAATATTCTTATGAATATACCGCGACCCTTAAAATTAAAGCCCCCCCCACCATTCGAATGGGACGGCTGCCTATATATAAGGGATGGTGATGTAATGACAGTTTATAATATTTTTTTATTGGAATTGGCCAAACATTCCAATGTAGCAGGATCCTTTCCGAAGGAGGAGCCTTGAGATTCAGGGAGACACTTTGGCTACGTAAAGGGCATTGCTGTACAAAACGAGAGTCGCATACCCACCCTGACCAATTTACGTTCTGACCCGCCCCTACTGGACACATGTGAAAAAGAGCTTCATAGCTCATCAGATTCCTCCAGGATAAATACATGATTCTGAACCGATCACACCCATTGGCGGTGTTTGTGCACGGTGCAACTGACAGGTTCTGTAAATGTTCACTAATCTGACCATTTCACATCCGCCTCGACCAACTACCGACGTTGCCCTATGCGTGTCCTATTTAACTATATTTATTCTACCAGTAACGGCCCACTGAGCTATATAGCTCAACAAAGTGGCTTATCATGTGGACATTTAAAGCAGTAGCCAAATAATCAAATGACATGTTTCTAAACGTGGAGCGACAAAAACCCGGAGGAAACCGGAGAAAAGGAAATCGGAGAAAAATCCACACGATGACGGGGAGAGAGAGACACCGCAAACTCCAAATAAACAGGCGTAAGTGTTAAGATCGAACCCACGACCTCCTGTATACCGGGCGAGGTAGTTAACATCTCCTAGCCACCGTGATGATGATCTGAGAGACACGCAAACTCCAAATATACAGCAGTAGGAGTCAGTGTTGGGATCGAACCCACGCCCTCCTCCTGTAGTCCAGGCGAGGTAGTGAACAGCTGGCCACCCGGCACTGCTGTAGCCCAGGCGAGGTAGTGAACAGCTGGCTCCACGCCCTCCTGTAACCCAGGCGAGGTAGTGAACAGCTGGCCACCCGGCACTGCTGTAGCCCAGGCGAGGTAGTGAACAGCTGGCTCCACGCCCTCCTGTATCCCAGGCGAGGTAGTGAACAGCTGGCCACCCGACCTCCTGTAGCCCAGGCGAGGTAGTGACAGCTGGCCACCCGACCTCCTGTATCCCAGGCGAGGTAGTGAACAGCTGGCCCCACGCCCTCCTGTAGCCCAGGCGAGGTAGTGAACAGCTGGCTCCACGACCTGCTGTAGCCCAGGCGAGGTAGTGAACAGCTGGCCACCCGGCACTGCTGTAGCCCAGGCGAGGTAGTGAACAGCTGGCCCCACGACCTGCTGTATCCCAGGCGAGGTAGTGAACAGCTGGCCACCCGGCACTGCTGTAGCCCAGGCGAGGTAGTGAACAGCTGGCCACCCGGCACTGCTGTAGCCCAGGCGAGGTAGTGAACAGCTGGCTCCACGACCTGCTGTAGCCCAGGCGAGGTAGTGAACAGCTGGCCACCCGGCACTACTGCTGTTGTTTATATCACGTGCGCCCACGTGACTCGCGAGGTTCGCTCGAGAGCGAAAAAAGAAATCGCCGCGGTCCCTTTGAAAGCGCGACCCGGGGCAGTCGGGGCGAGGGCTCAGGCGAGAGAGGGCGACGACGACGAGGACGAGGAGGAGGAGGACGAGGAGAGGACGAGGAGGAGGAGACGGTAAGAGAAGAGTGGAGAGATGACGTTGGGTGAGGAAGGGAGACCAGGGGAGGACGCGGTCCCCTGGGTCGCGTGAGACGGAGCACACCCCAGGCCCCGGCCTTCAACCGGGGCCTAAACACAGCGCAGCTAGCGATAGCATTCTGCTTAAATTTTAGTTTTTTTTAAAACCCCACAGTGCTATAATAATCAGTGTTATAATAACAACAGCAATAGGTATTGCGCTGTTATAATACGCTCATTGTTGTAATTGCAATCCCTAGTGTTTTAATTGCAATCCCTAGTGTTTTAATTACAGTGAGCATTATCCGGGCATAGTAATATGCAATGTTAAAATGATAACTGTTGCAATTTTTATTTGCAGTAATTACAGTACGATAGTTTAAAGAATCCTCCACCAACGCTGCGCTGACCGGCGTGGTGAAGTATGGTCAAGCGGCAGCCGCCACAATCGAAACGCCTTGGGAGACGCCTTCCGCCTAGCAGTTGTGTTGACGGAGCTTTGAATAATAACAGTACAGTAATTATAGCAATGTTCATAGTATTTGAGTGATAGCATCGGTGATACGCTGATAATGTTAAACGTAATCACGGGGATAAATAGGTGGGGCGAGGGTAACGGGCGCCAAGTGACAACGTGTCGTTCACAATGTGACACTGCCACATTATGAATGACACCACATTGTGAGTGTCAGTGACACAACCACGTTGCGAGATATACAACCACATTGTGAGTGACACCAAGAGCGAATTGTGGGTGACACCAACACATTGTGAGTGACACCGCCACCACATTGTGAGTGATACCACCACCACATTGTGAGTGATACCACCACCACATTGTGAGTGATACCACCACCACATTGTGAGTGATACCACCACCACATTGTGAGTAACACAACAAGCGAATTGTGGGTGACACCAACACATTGTGAGTGACACCACGAGCGAATTGTGGGCGACTCCACCACATTGTGAGTGACACCGCCACCACGCTGTGACACGACCACCACATTGTGAGTGATACCACCACCACATTGTCGTTTATTGTGAAAATTCGGTCACAGTTCCTATGATCACTGTTACATTGCTTTTATGGCTTTACTTTGGTGATTTCGAAAAGTTTTTTGGTTTGGCCATGTTGTAGTACGGAGTTAGACTGATGGCCTTAATCTAAGTTGTCTTGTGGTGGTTGTTGTTGTTGTTTGACTTGCATCCCACTGGGAATTTTGCACACAGCGTTGGTGTACGGTGCTTTTTCTGGAATATTTTGCTGTTTTTTCCCTGGATTTTCTGTTTGCACAGTCACATAGTCACTTTAAGATGTGTTCTTGTTCGTGTTTTTTGTTTGTTGCGGTTGCACCCGATTCAAGAGCCGAATGGCTCACAGGGCTATACCAAACAAATTAAACTGAAACTGAGTGATACCGCCACCACCACATTGTGAGTGACACCCCAACCGAATTGTGGGTGACACGACTACCACCACATTTTGAGTGACACGGTGACCACGTTGTGACACCACGACCATATTTGGAGTGACATCAACACCACATTTTGAGTGTCACTTTAACACCGACGCTGTGTCACAAGCACTTTGGGAGTGACACAGTCATCACATTGCTGTTGGCGCTGTCGGGGCTCTATACCGGTATAAACAGCACTGCCAATTTGCTGATAATGTAGTTTTCTTGGGGAGGAGACTAGTTTTTTCTGGTTGTCGACTGGCTCCGGCAATAGCAATGTGGAATAAACACTGTTGGATCAGTGTCATCGACACACTAGAGCGTCACTGCATATGCTCGTGGAGAGTAAAGACCCTGCGATTATGTTATTATTTACTTGAGTAACTGTGATAGTATGTCATCGTGATAATAAGATAATTTGCAAGTCGTAGGATTTGATCTGTTATCTACAGAAAAATTCAAATCGTGTTAACTGCCTGTGGATCACCTTAAAAGCAGGGCTTGATTTCAGCCGGAATACTTTTCTGGAAATAATATTGGTGTGCTACATCCATTTTGGGATTACAGGAACATTGTGTACAATAATGTATGTACAAGTTGGTGTGATGGGCACAACGTTGTAATGATTGACACGAAATTAATGAATAAACATTCACAAAGGATTATAGCGATTTCGGGAACAATATGGGATAGGCATACCTACTTTAATGGTAGTGCATTGCGCCATTAATGCCTACTCCAAGCCAACCATAGAGCATCTTTTTGGAAAAGATTGAGCGAGAAATTAAGCCCTGCTTCACAAGCATCTGCATTCATCTGTGTCATTGTGTGGCTCACACCATGCTTTAAAATCTTAGCAACACCTTACACTTCATATTCTTAGCTCTTTCGGTAAAGTCACGTTGAAGGGAAACAATAAAATAATAACATATATAAAACAATAAAAATTCTCACGATGTTTCGACCATAACACAAACGGTCGTCATCAGGTGTGTCGGTTTGCATTAATTTATTGGACGTTTTTTTATAAAAAAAGACAGTTTAAAAATAAATTAATTAATGCAAACCGACACACCTGATGACGACCGTTTGTGTTATGGTCGAAACGTCGTGAGAATTTTAATTGTTTTATATATTTTATTATTTCCCTTCAACGTGACTTTACCGAAAGAGCTAAGAATATGAATTACTGCAGTCACGAAAGCTTTAAATCAAAACCTTACACTTCAATAATAATTGTGTTCACATTTTTTTTAAGTTAATAAAGAAACGCAAATGCACCTCATCGCAATCTCTGGCAAGGAGGTAGAGCACCACCAGGGTCTGGCCTCACAAATAGAGATCCTTTACGGGTCTTTTGTCTTCTCGTGATGGTAATGTGACCTCGTCACATGAGGATGAAGCACATGCAAATCGCAGTCAAATGGGTTATTGCTGTAAAAATTCACAAACGACAGTATCACCAAATAACACGTGATATTGCAATTATCTCGTTTGCTTCCCAGCACGTCTCTTTTGTGCTGGGGGGGGGGGTGCTTCCAATGATCGGATGCCAAATACTGAGTCTCAGTATTTATCCATTGCTGTTTATTGAACACAAGTGGGGTGGTAATCGCAACACTTAAGGCGAATTGCATTGCTTTGCAATTATTGCAACACCTCGTCTTTCGCAGGAGACACAAGCCTGACCCGTACCGTGCAATAATTGACATGATGGCGGATGACGTGACCATTTTATTTCAATCTTGTTTTTAAATTTGAAAAATTACTGTTGCGCATGTACAGCCCTTTTGTCAAACCGCCGACGGATGAGGGCCTCCTCCGCGCACCGTGAAGGGTTGTGGGGGTTATTTTTCCATGCATCACTACGTTGCTTGGCGTGGGTGAGTGAAGTTGTGGAGCAGATGTATAAATTGCTTTTTTATATTTAGTTCAGTGTCCTTCCCCGTACCTCCGATTAGCACGGTTGGCTACGTGCGGTGCGAAAGAAGTGCAACATACATACATAAACAGCAATACGGAACAACAATAGATGTTTTTACACTGCCCTCTGCTGTCCTCAATGTTGCCCTGTAGCAGCCTACAATAACCGATTGTTTTGTGTTCACCCATCAAGGTGAGATACAGGCTCACTGATGCTTTTTTTTTAAGATCTGATTGGATTGGGTGCATTCCAGGTGATTTGGTCGTAACACTTGTGTCCCACAGCAAGAAGGGCCTGGGTTTAAATGCCCTCCCTCTGTTCTGCATGGATTTCCTCCAGCTTCTACAGTTTACTTCCATAGCAAAAAAAAACTTCCAATGTAATTGTTATTTGTCAAACATTCCACCGTACACAACCAAACGTGCTAATCGATTGGGATTGCACATAACAGCATCACCCCCTCTTTTAAAAACGTGGCAGGACCCTCCTGAAAGAGAGCCTTGAGCTTCAGTTAGGCTTTGCTAAGAAACGAGTGTGATAATAAAATAATAACAATGGATTTCGATGCACTGTCCTCTGCGTAGCCCCTGCAGTGTTGTGCGGACGCCTAAATCACAGTTATAATTGAAATTGCATCTTTTGACTTGACGTAGATGAGATATGGGGTAAAGCCGTAGCACAGTGATTCGCGCCCTGCCCTACAAACTGAGTGTTCGGAATTTGATTCCAGACGCAGTGTATGAACTGGCTCCGAGCACCCCCTTTACTGACCAGCTTGGTGAAGTATGGTCAAACAACTGCTGCCACAACCTACACGACTTGACGATGGCTTCATGTAAAAGTGTATTGACAAGGGGCTGTCAATTACTGACAATTTAATTCTGCAGAACTGCATGATGTCTCTGAAAGACAAGCGGTGTATGAAACATTCCCTCTTTTGTAACCGTAGATGATGGTGATGTGTGCCCTCCGCTGGACCGGATAAGTGGAGCATGAGGAACGCTCGGATTTGAATGAGCTCAAGGTCAAAGAGTGAGTTGAACGGCAGCAGCAGCAGAGCAAAACGAACAGGGTGAGAAATGTTAACTGTACTTCCTCCATAGCCAATGAGCAGTGCTCCACATATGCTGCATACTGAGAATTTAATTAGCAAAGAATATGGGAATTGTCTGAAACGTTTACATTTAATGTGTAATAGCGCGGCAATTCAACCAATGGGCGAGTTTCTTAACCCCCCCCCCACTGCCTCTGTCCACCCAGCAGTTAGTCGATCGGTAGGTTGAATGTGGTAGGGTAAAGTGTGGGTACTCCCACCTCTTTGAAGACATCTGACCTAAATGTTCCCTCGAGATGGCTTATATAAAATTCCCTCTAGAGATGCTCTCTCTAGAACTAGTGGAGCCACTTCCACCAGCAGTGGCGCGGACAAATACTTGCAGGGCTGCACTTTAACGCATTACAATATGTCTGAAAGAGCTTTAGTGTTTGCATGACAGAAACCGATGCATGTTTGGTGAATGATTGGTCACGTGATCCTCAGAGCCCGCAAGGGAGCGGCTCGGTATCATCCCCTCACATGCCCTGCTGTAGAGAAATGTTCGTCGCCTGACAGTCAAGCTGATATATTTTATTTCTCAGCTGGTATTTCGGCAAATTATGTTCCAAACCGAATTTAATGTAGAGAGTTTTTACTGTGCAATCATTGTTGACCAGAGTGAGCGCATAAAATCGCTGCCCTCAATTAAAACCCAGGATCTCAGCAGGTGCTAGCAATGTGGTCCGACCACGGAGCAATTTATGACGTAAACAAAACATGCCAATTGGTACTAGTTCAGCACGCCAGCGTGTTGGAGAGTAAACCCGCAACATTTCACGCATCGTGACGTTTCGCCGGTGATCATAACCAGCTTCATCAGGCGACAGCCGTGATTGTGGAGAAATCCTCCCGTTTCGGTCTGCGGCAACTGCATTTCGGCAAACGTGTCCGTCCGTACGATAGCAGGGCGGTGAGAGAGATGGAGGCCGAGGGAGAGCGCGAGGGCCCCTCGTTCCGCGAGCTCTGCTGGCTCGTGTGCTGGCCGCCGCTGCCCAGCCGCATCGTGTCCAAGCTGGCGTTCTCGCCGTCGCCGCCGTCGTACCGCCTGCAGGGAGACGGAGCGAGCGGGCGCTGCGGCCTCGTGCTTACGGAGCGCGCCGACTGGCCGCACACGTCCTCGCGCCTCGACGCCATCGACGTCTTCCTGACGCACACGCGGCGAGGCAACCGCATCGCCTGCATGCACGTGCGCGCCTCTCCACAGGTGCGGGCTCGTCGCCCACTCGGAATGATAATAATCATAATCATCATCATCATAATAATCGCATTCACACTCTCCGGTTTCCTTCCCGAGTAAAGCCCATTTGAGCGATAGAACTCTTACAGTAATAGGTTTTACCCTTTTAACTGGCACAAAAAACTGACACCTTTATTCAAGGCATCATGTCTGCAATAACCGCAACACAAGCAGTCAAAATGCAAACAAAAAGAGACAACTCTGATAATAATATTATGCACTGTCCTTGAATTTGATTGGTCCACACCCGAGACGGCTTTTCTTAGAGCCTCGTCTCCACTGGTGTTGGACCAGAAGACGCCAAAAGGCACCAGTTAAAAGGGTAAAACCTATTACTATATCTTGTTACTGGCAAAGGAGGTGTCATAATGATAGAACTCTTTTCAAGGGCAACTCGGCTAGCAGACTAATAATAATACTAATAATTCAGTAGCAATATTGCTTGTTTACATATTAGTACAATTGCCACCCTATATCTGCAGCTTAGTTTTGTAATTTGTGCTGTGACCATTCTGGAGGTAGTCTAGCTGAACAGATTTGCTATACAGGGAATTTAAAATTTAGCTTTGATTTAACGTTGAATCAGGTTTGTGATATTTTTTATTCCTCGTGTGATACAGTTGTTTTTGGTATTTGTGTTGTGTTTGTTTTTATTTCTTTGCTTCATTGCTGTACTTAATTTTATTTTCCTTTTGTCAATTTGGTGACCCAAGTCACAATCGAATCGCAACACGATTCAGTGTTGCGATTCCATTCAATAATTGAGTGAACCCATTAAGCATTTTAAAGACAGTTATTGGTTTATGCGACGTCCGATGCATGTATGGTGAGCTTAAGCATTGAAAGTTATAATTAAATTGACGTGTTGTTATACCCCTGCAATTTCACAGGGGTCGGCTCTTGCAAATAATTATATGTGAGGTTTTTATATCCACATTAAAGGGACCTTTAGGAAATTTGAAAGGTCTCTGCTGTAGAGATTGAAAGGACAGCCCTAGAAAATTTATCGTGAACCCTTTGTAGTTTGGCTCTGGAATGAGGAGTTGCTGATCGCTAAGATCCTAGCCAATTAAGGTGGCCATGTACCTCAGAGGTGAGAGCACCGAGCTGGTACCGCTGAAATCAGGGGGTCATAATCTATTTGAGCCACCCGTGATTAAACTGGTTTCTCATTTCGAGTGAGTTGATGGTCTCAAGCTGGTCACCAATGATTGCGCACACAATAACCCATTATGTAAAATTTCGTTCTGCACTTGAATTTGACAAAATTCCAGCTCTGAGAATTCAAAATATGAATTTTACTCCGTAATATATATTTTTGGGTTAGATCGCGTAAATATATAAATTTGTCGTTAATACCCGCCACCACCCGACACAGCCAACTAGTAAGGGTTGTCACGTAAACAGAACGTGCCAATTCGTCACTAGTACACCACACCAGTGTGTTGGAGAGCCAAGCCACAAAATTTACAATCTGAGTACGATGTTTCGCCAGTAATTACAACTAGCTTCATCAGGCGAGAGCCAGATTTGTGGAGAAGTCCATCTGTTTCGTTCCTTATATAGAGTCGTAGATGTCTTGACTACGCTTCTGCACTCTTGCACGATGTGTGGGGGGGGGGAGATTACTGAGGCAATGTACATTATGCGTGTGCATTATGCGAGCACTTTGAACTTGTACTTCCTGTTTATTGTGTTTATTAAAATAGCCGTACCAACGGTAATCCCTATTGAAGTACGTTGCCCTTTGTAGGCATGCATTTAAACAATGTGTTATTTCATGATTCGCTTCCACGCAGCACTCAGGCGGTAGCTATCCGAACGGTTAAAGTTATTTTGATTTAAAGCTTTCGTGACTGCAGTAATTCATATTCTTGGCTCTTTCTTCTCACATGACATTGACTTTTCCGAGACAGAGGTTCTTTGTAAGCCATCTGGCTACCATGAGAGATTCGTTCATGAGGCTATCCACATATACAAGCACAGAGACAATTTCAACCGAGAAGATGGATTCTAGCTTAGCAATCATTGGAAAGATTTGATTAACCATTTCAGGTCTTAATTGATTGTTCACGCTTACGGTGGCTTTCAGACAGCATACATTAATTTTTCGTCTCCCCCTCCTCTTTTCAGAACATAGATGGACTAGTCCTTCTAAATAAACTGCCAAATCGCTGCGCGTGGCGCTGACGTTTTTTAATAAATAAATACACCGTTTAAAAATAAATTAATTAATGCAAACCGACACACCTGATGACGACCGTTTGTGTTATGGTCGAAACGTCGTGAGAATTTTTATTGTTTTATATATATTTTATTATTTTATTGTTTCCCTTCAACGTGACTTTATTTTTATTTGTTTCAATTTCGATAGATTCTCTAATTAGTCTTGGCCAGTAGTGTAGATAATTTTGCACGAAACCTCAACATTATCAAAATCAATTGAGTGTCCTTGTTGGCACGCATGTTCTGCTACTGCTGACAGTTGCATTTGGAAGAATTTAATATTTCTCTGATGTTATTTTAGTCTCGTGCTGATCATTCATCCTGTTTGCCCAACATAACATTTACCACAGTGCAGTTAATCCTGTACACACCTTCTGTTGATAGCTTCGGTAATGCATCTTTTGTATCAGATATTAATTTCTGTATTTTAAGTACCATGCCAAATCTGACTCGGATGTTTTGTTTATCCAAACATCTGGCTAGTTTATCAGTTACTCCCGCAATGTACGGTATTTTGATCGTTTTAATTACTTTGGCAGTTTCAATGCTCTTGCTATTTGATTTGGTTTTAGTATTCAATGCCCTGTTGATTTGTGCATCATTGTAACCGTTCATTTGCAGCACTTCTTTAACATGTTGAATTTCACTTCTCAGACTGTCACCATCTGACACTTTCTTAGCTCGATGAGTGAGCGTCTTGATAAGAGCAGATTTCTGTGCGGGGTGATGGTGTGACTCTGCATTCAGATAGGCGTCAGTATGCGTTTTCCTTCGGTAAACACGCTGTGTGTTATTTTACATTTCTACCCTGTTCGAGCTGAATATCCAGAAATGGTACAGTTCTGTCAGCTTCCACTTCCATGGTGAACTGGATGGATGGGTTTTGCGAGTTGAGATGATTTAGACATTCGTTAAGTGTATCTTTGCCATGTGGCCAGACCACCAATGTGTCATCCACATATCTAAACCAAGCAGATGCTTTTAGTGTGCTTGAAGCTATTGCTTTGGTTTCAAAATCTTCCATGTACAAATTCGCTATCACAAGAGACAAAGGAGAGCCCACTGCTGCTCCTTCCTTTTGTTTATAGAAGTCACCTTGCCACAAGAATTAAGTGTTCTTTAAACAGTGTTCAGCTTGTCTTGGGATATCTTTGGCTAAACCTTTGTTCGTTACCAGAGTGTCGAGTAATTTAATTGACTCTTTGACTGGAACCCTCGTGAACAGAAAGGTCACATCAATACTTACGAGAATATCATTAGGGTTAAGCTTAATATCTTTAATTATATTTACGAGATGTTCAGAGTTTTTGATGGGTCCTACCGATGTAGGGCTGTATTTGTTTCGTTACGTATTGTGCAAATTTGTATGTGACAGAGCCTATTGTGCTATGGGTCTTAATGGGACATCAGATTTGTGAATTTTTGGTAGCCATAAAGTCTTGGTGGTTTTGATGCCCTTGGTTTGATCAGGTATTGCTCTTCCTTGGGAATTGATGACTTGGCAATGATTGCCGTTGTTTTACGTTCCAAGGTGCTGGTTGGGTCTCGTTTAATTTTAAGGTAGGTGCCCTCATCGAGTAAATCTTTGATTTTATTATCATAGTCCTCAAGGGGCATCACAACAGTCGATCGACCTTTATCAGCAGCAAGAATTTGGTTATCTTTATTTGCTCTCGATTCTCTTAAGGCTTTTGCTTCACTGAAGTTAATATTTGTTTTTGGCAATTTGCTGTTCTCAATAATTTTGGCAACCTCGTGCCTAGTCATCTCAGCTTGATTATGGGGGAGATGTCTAACTGCTGATTCCACTTCAGCAATGATCTCATCGACAGGGATTGTACGTGGGGCAACAACAAAGTTAAGACCTTTAGACAGGACTGAAACCATATCGCTGGATAATTCAACGTTAGTCATGTTTTAACGACACATATATTTACGCGATCTAACCCAAAAACCTCTTATGGATGATATAGGTCACGAAAGCCTACGCGTTAAAATGAATTTTACTATCATGCTACATTACTCTTCATGTCGCAGAGCACGTTTACACATCGATCCTCCTGCACCGGCTCCCCCCTCCAACCCACCCCACAGGCCCACTGCACTCTGCTCTTCTCACATGGGAACGCCGTGGACCTGGGCCAGATGTGCGGCTTCTATGCCGATCTGGCGGCCAAACTCAACTGTAACGTCTTCTCCTACGACTACTCTGGCTATGGCGCCAGTTCGGGCAAGCCGTCCGAAAGGAACCTCTACGCCGACATCGACGCCGCGTTCCAGGCACTGCGGACGCGGTAACGAGCCAGCGCAGGCCACGGTCATTTATACCGCGATCAGACTTGTAAATACCTTCAGCGAGCCACGCATTGATACACATCTTGCGGTTGTCCAACAATAAGGTTTAAAGGTAGAGGTGCCGCCCTGCAATTGCTTGCTCACTCTGCTGCCGGCAGAAGAGACTCCACTCGAAGGTAGCTTCAGAGGGCGTTGTGTAACAGTGACGTGAGAAGCAGTCTACGCGTCGACCGCCTATAAAGAGTCCATTGCTTTAACAGAAGTGGCTTTGAGTGTGCTACAATAAAAAAAAACTGTATAAAAACATGTTGTACACGGAATTGGGCCGTACGTTCCCCACGCCTAGTATACACGCTGTAATAGCTAATGAGTCGTGGCACTTGGGTGGGTGTGTGCTGCAATGAAATATCATTGGCTGCTGAGCAAAGACACTTGATACAAACCATGGAATAGTGTAACAGTAAAAATAATAATGAATATTTTTCGAATGCGCTTCCCAAACAGGGAAATCAATCACGAGTCCCCCAGGCCATCCTCGGGAGGTGGTGGTGGGGGGGCGGGGAGCCAGGGCCTGTTGGGATGCTGGAGGTGGTGATGTGTGTCTGTGTTGGGGCAGGTACGGGTTAACCCCGGACAAGGTGGTGCTGTACGGTCAGAGCATCGGCACCGTGCCCACTGTGGACCTGGCATCGCGCTACGAGTGCGCCGGCGTAGTGCTGCACTCGCCGCTGGCGTCCGGCCTTCGCGTGCTCTTCCCAGGGATTGCTCGCACCTACTGCTTCGACCCTTTCCCAAGGTGCGTGAGTGACGTGTGGGGGCAAACAAAACGTTTATAAAACCTACACAACAAAGATAAGTCCTTGGATTGCGCAATACGTTCAGGGACAAACAAACGCACGTCGGAAAGCATCGCTGAATCCATCTCGTTTTTTTCTTTTTCGTTTTTATTCAATGCAACAATAGTTTCTCTCTGTCTCCCTCCTCGTTTTTTTTTTCCCCGTTTGCAGCATAGAGAAGATCTCCAAGGTTTCCTCCCCCGTGCTGGTGATTCACGGCACTGAAGACGAGGTGGTGGACCTGTCGCACGGCCTGGCCATCCACGCGCGCTGCCGTCGCCCCGCCGAACCGCTCTGGGTGGAGGGCGCCGGCCACAACGACGTGGTGCTGCATGCGCAGTACATGGAGCGCCTGCAGAGGTTCCTCACCCACGAGGTCACTTGTGCCTAGGTCCTGCGTGCACCCCACGCCGTGGACGGGGAGCAATGGCCACGCCAATATCATCACGTCGTCGCGTAAAACACCGTTATGCGGCGGCGGTGGTGGTGGTGGTGTCGTTGTGACACCTTTGGTGGCGTGTGCCACTTTTTAACGCAATGCAATGCAACCGTCTGAATGCATTCCGCCATGGAGAGTAAACGTTGCCGCGCGCGCTGGTTAATTTGCGTCGTTCCATCGACACCGCCATAACTGACGTGGGGGTAGCGGTTCAGTGGTGGTGGTGGTGGATGTGCCACATTTGTTTTTGGCGCTAGCCACCTCGCAATGCAATGCACCTGTCTGGATGCAACTGCTTCCTAACACAATGGTGAAATAGAATCAAAGGTGAAAGGTGCAGCCCTGCAATTTCTTGCTCTCATCACTGCTGGCAGAAGGGCTTCCACTGGAAGGGAGCTCTAGAGAGAGCCCCTATTGGAGGGTATTTTGGTCTGCTCTTCCAGAAGTAGGTACACCCACACTTTATCCCACCACAAGCGACCTGCCGATCGACTTGACTCTGGTGTAGCCATTTATACTGCTGGGTGGACAGGCGATGGTAGGGGAGATTAATAACGCGCCCCTTTGTTTCAACTGCCACTCTGGGAGGTTAATTTAACTGGTGACCTCTCTTTGCAAGTCCAGTGCGATGACCATATCACCTCGGCAGCATCCCCGGTAAAATAGAATATGCAGCAAAGAATGGGCGTAGCACGCACATGCACCATGCAATTTGCATCGACAGACTTCACCACATCGCACTGGAACGCATCGTTCTGCAAAGAACCGCACTGGATTAGAGATCACAAGCTGGTGTGCATGTGCAACTTTTCTTGGGGCCACAGAAAGCATTGACGGAGAAGAATTCCATGTCAGACGTGTAGTGCAATCATCCATTTCCATTCGCTTTGATCTGATGACCAATTCCATTACCATGCCGTGAAGTGTTTTTACTCCGTGTGCGCCATCACTTACAGTCGTTTGCGTGTTCTTGCCGAGTCGTGCTTTACCTGTTTTGAGTTTGTATTTTGCTTTTCCGTGACAGTGTTAAACGTTTAAATTGCGTTCATGATCGCGAACCCCGGGGGCTGGTCGCCCCGTTATTCATCTTGTCTTACAAACTGTGAAGAGAAGAGAACTATTTTCCTACGGCCTGGAGCCCAGCAGTAGACACAGCGGGTGTACATTTGTGCGTGTGTGTGTCCGCCCGTGCCCGGCGCACTACCAGTGTGCCATTCACAATATGGATGCATGCCTGTGTGTACATAATGCAAAGTTAAAAAAATGTATTCGAACTTAAAGAGCTTGGTACCAATCAGGGCTTAATTTCTCACTTAATGTTTTTTTTTCTGGGTCGCCAGTCGACCCGGAGTAGCTTAACAACGCGCTGAGTATCCACAGCCCATATTGCGAGGAAATGTTGGATGTGGTGTGTCGGGTGCAGAAATAATGACCAGGTCGCCAACCCGGACAGACTCGGCTGAAATTAAGCCCTGGTACTCGTGTACAGTTAACTCTCGGTCCTCTGGGGTAATGGGAGGGGGGGGGGATAGGTTACCCGGATAGAAACAAAAACACGGGACAATACAAATGGTATGCAACATAGGCTATGAAAAAAAACATTTATTGTTTACTTACGTAGAATGTGGGTGAAAATTTAGAATGTGCCGTGTTTGTATTGGTCGCTGAGTCACGAGTGAGGAGCAGCAAGTAGTCGAATTAGTGCGCATGCATTAAGGGCGTGAATTGGCGGGGAATTTTCTATTTTCTTTATTTTTTTGCAAGCACGGTTGACCCGCGAACCCGAATAATTAACACACGGATAATCGAGAGTTGACTGCGTGTGGGTCGTTGATCTTGGTTTTTGTCTTTCTTCCTCGTGAATGTTACATTTATCGCGTCAAATCTTTTACAGGGGAGTTGCTCGGTGAGCCTAAAAGGCAGGGTCCGAAACTGAGCTATCGGTCGGGAAACTTGGTCGCACGCAACTGAATTGTGCCCGCAAACTAGTGACGAGCAGTTGTGCAACCGACTGCTTGCAGTCAAGATTCGCCTCTCTTTTCAACGCATCTTCTCGGCGATTTGTAGCAATGTCTTTCATCACGTGCGCGCATTTGTGAACCCTGATTGGTTCGTACAATCCTGAACGTGGCGCTTGATTTTATTGTTGCGCAACCGCTTGCTCGGATGTGGGCAAAGCAGTTGCAGGTGATGATGATTATTATTATTAAGTTGCGTGATTTTGAGAGCGACTTGGGTTGAGCAGCCTATGTCTCCGGCGTGGACCTGGCCAAAGTTGGCCCTGTGCAGTGTTATTTTTGCACCGTGCGTTTCAGTTGCAGCTTTTGTTGATATTTCGTTGATATTTTGTTTTATTAAGCATGATGTTGTCCCCATTTAGACGAAAGACGTGTGAAACTTGAGCGGGGATTGACATTGGTGGAATTGGCGAGAGCTCGTTTTGCCAAACGCCTTAGTCTTCTTGCAGAAGCTCTTTCCTCTTCCATCGGAAAGGGGGTGGGGGGGGGGGGTGGGGGGGGGTCGTGTTTAAGTCTTCTCTGACCTCACATCTTCCGTAATATATGGAAACATTTGTCTGTGTTCATGTCGTTTGAGATATTTAAAAATAAAACAAATCTTTAGTTGTGAATTCTGTCGCCGTTATCGAGTGTTGCAACAGCCACGGTGTACACCAATAGCATCGCCAGGCGTTGCGTTTACGAAGACCAATTTAGAAGCCTCCATACAGTAGGGGTCATACAACCCATTACATTAAACATACAGACAACAAATTCTGAGTTTTTACATGAGCCAATGGATCTTATCAAGGTGGTAGATACAATGTCTGTAAAAAAATCAAGTACTGTAATTATAAGAGGCCGTTATTTTTGTATTTAGCGAATGTTTTTACACAGCACCAGATACACAAAAAGAATTCCAACATATGCATGTCGATGTTATATGCGAGTGGATGTCATCCCACGTAGCCACAGAGCCATGTGACAGCCTCCTCCAGCACGTGCAGGGCGACCGGTCTGTCCCGGCACACCCTGGCGGACTTCACAGCCAGAGACGATGTGTGCCATGGTCTCATTGCTCCCCGAAGTACATTGAGAGACAGTACATTGAGTTTAATGAACATTGGATATCCGTTGAGTTTAAATTATTGCGACATAGTGCTGTGAGCTGTATAATTCCACTCGTAACTGGTAGCTGCCTTGCCCGTCCCTCTGTTGGCTTGTAGTATTCCACAGAAGGAGAATTACTTTGTTGACCAATGATAGGGATCAAATGTTATTAAATGTTTAGCATGCGACTTGAACTTTAGCTTGACCCTGCCCTATGAGCAAAACTAATCAAACCAATTATTCCTCTGGGCATAAACAAAAATTACGTTCCAGCTGTATGGGTCTGGCTATACGCGTAGTCCCACAAATATGTGGCAGCGTTGAGCTGTTTAGCCTTTTCTGAACATTACAATTAACCATTGCTCATAATGGAAATGGTTGAGTTATCAATGGTTGATGAATGGTTCATCGATGGTTGAGCAGAGAGTGAAAAGTACGTTGGATTTCAGAAACAGGCGTGGTGTGGACTTCCAAGGACAACACCCATGGATTTTATTTCGCTCCTTTCGCAGCCAAATACCTCACAACGCACTTAATCCAATACATGGCAGACATTTTTTTGGTGATGATGCATTGGCAGTGGTGCCCGAGCACAAATAAAAGAAAAAAATGCAATTATATAGCCAAATAACACTGCCTTGATAGAAAAACATATATAATCGATTACATTTTGGGAAATGTCCCTTCTTTATAGCATAGACACTAAACTTGTATTTTTTTTACCGAGTAAAACCCACTGAACAATTAACTCTGGAATTGATTCGAGCAGGCCTAACATTACTGGCGAGATGCTGCATGTCGAGATTTGCTTGTCCTGAAGCAATGCTGCTGCTGAAATTATTTCACGCCCGGAAGGCCGAGGCAGATAATGGGGTTAAAAAAAGACTTTTACAACATTTGCGTCACGGACAAACTTTTCAGGAGCGTATCTGTTCTGTGTGTCGAGGGATGCCCGTAACAGGTGCGGTGTGTAAAACATCGCCACAAAATGGAGACAAAGGCGGTCTGGCGCGGTGCTGGCCAACCACCCCCTTCGTGTGTCGTGACGGCCTTCATAGGTGCTGCTCGCTAACAACACCTGCTTCTGCAGTCTGTTAAAGACGACACGGACGAACTTTGCTTATGACCACAGTTGTATAGTATAACATTGCTGACACCAGGCACGACTTTTGGGGTGCCTCTTTAACTTTCCGAAGCGTCGGGAAGAATACAATAGTGATCATTCTTGTAATGCTAATTTTGCACGTCATTTTTAAAGCGTGCAACACGGAAAATGTGCACGTTTGCAAATGTGCGTGGTTACAGGGCCGGTGAAGAATGTGTCTCGCTTCACCGTTTCGCAGCCATGAAACGCCACTGTGGAACGCAAGCCCACACATTTGCCACAAAGCGCCTTATCTCAATCTTCTCAACCAGAAAGCAGGAGTATTTACAGCAACAGCAGTGGCTGCCTCTAGTCCACGTGAGGTATACACATTGTTCCTAAAATAATGTGTTATGTTTCGATTTAAAGCTTTTGTGACTGCAATGATTCATCTTCTTTGGTTCTTTCGGTAAGTCACGTAGAATGAGAATAAAATAATAAATTGATAAAATAAAATAACACAATAATATTCTCACGACGTTTCGGCCACAACACAAGCGGCCTTCATCAGGTGAAGGGGGCGAGACTGTCTGGTAGGACAGCGCTGGAGTGAGAGAGCCACGTTCAGATCACGGCTTTTAAGCTGTGAGAGGAACAAAGAGCCCTCAAATTTCCGTACCACGGATAGCTACGGGCCCCGTGGGGCCTCCGTGGTACGGAAATTTGAGGGCTCTTTGTTCCTCTCACACAACTTAAAAGCCGAGAGAGAGACAGCTGTCTCTCTCCCCCTCCTCTGTTCCGACCATGGACGAACTCGTCCGTCTGAACGGGGCCCGTAGCTATCCGTGGTACGGAAATTTGAGGGCTCTTTGTTCCTCTCACACAGCTTAAAAGCCGTGATCTGAACGTGGCTCTCTCACTCCAGCGCTGTCCTACCAGACAGTCTCGCCCCCTTCACCTGATGAAGGCCGCTTGTGTTGTGGCCGAAACGTCGTGAGAATATTATTGTGTTATTTTATTGTATCAATTTATTATTTTATTCTCATTCTACGTGACTTTACCGAAAGAACCAAAGAAAATGTGTGATGTCTCCCACCGACTGGCGAAGAACCCCAAATCCATCAATGATCAAGCATCTTAACTAAGTCTAATTGATTAAAATAATATTCAAATCATTTACAGCCTCGATCTCTGTGAAATCCACTGCTTGCCCCACGCCTTGTCGGTCCATGTGGGTTGTTTGAGATCACTTCACGCTGGTCAGTGCGAGGTTGGTGAAGAAAGTGGACCAGGGCTGGTTCAAATATATTACTCGCCACTGATGTTAACCGTGGCCGGGAAACGAACTAATGTCGCCGTGGCTTCTTACCGCGGTTTGCTATTCACTGTGCCAACGTTCAAGCTCTTTGGTTCTATTCGGTGAAGTGACGTAGGTAAAAAATAAAAAAAAATCACGACGTTTCGGCCACAACACAAGTGGCCTTCATCAGGTGAAGGGACCGTGCTGTCACAAGGACAGCGTTGAAAAGAAGAAAGTCAAGTCAGGTCGCGTCCTTTTAAGCTGTGTGGGAGGAAGCAAAACGCTTTGACAAAGGAATTAGCATAAAATGCTCAGAGTAACAACACGGGGGAGGGGAATATACCTACGTGACTTTACCGAATAGAACCAAAGAGTATGGATCCTTCAAATCTAGAACGTTCAAGCTGATTACAAAGCATGACCACATTTCCCCCGATTATAAGACGTACCAGAAAGTAAGACGCACCCCAAATGTATGTCCGGTGTCAATCAAGTTACACACCTAGCGGATGATAAGACGCACCCCCCAAGTTTGATTTACAATTCAGAGGAAAGAGGTGCGTCTTATTATCCGGAGAACACGGTGGCGAAAAATAACCCAGACTCAAGTTTGACTATTTCCAAGGTGACACATTTTTTCACTCGAAAACTTCATCAAGGGGATTTCCCATGCTCGGTTGCTGTGATGCTTGTCGCAATTCTTACGATACTGTAGAGGGTAGAGTACGGGGCTCGGGTTGACACAGGTATGTACTCTCGGAAGGCCGTGCAGACTGGTGGGTTGTCTCATATCGTTCATGGATGGATATACGGAGGATGCGTGTCGTCTGCTTAGCTATTTTGTTATTATAGTTAACTGAACTAAACTAAACACATTTTTTCTTATTTTCCCAGGCATAGGCACAATGAGCTATATGGCTCTTTTTTCATAAGCGACCTGGCCACAAATGATAAACTCAACGAAGTGGCTTATCACGTTGAAATGTTTTGCAGACAAAGACTCTAAACGCGTGTTGTTGATTCTTAATGTGGAGGGGAAAACCGGAGGACGGAGAGAAAATTCCACGCGACCACGGGGATGGAACCCAACGACCTCCTCCATACCAGGCGAGGTAGTTAACATCTGCCACCGCAGATAAAATACGGGTTGGCTATTCTCATAGCCATCAATTCACAATCGTTTTCAGTTTCTCCTGCAGCAGCTAAACACTTGCATATTCCATGGGATGAAAGTTATACACACGCACATATCAAACTTGTATCCCTGCTTTTCTTTGCCCACACATTTTCCACAAATATAAGGCCCGTATCAAATGTGAGTTGACCTTTAGTCGTGATGTGGGAATTGAAATTACAAGCACGTTTAGTGGGGTTTGCTTTTTCTCAAAATAAAAAAAATATGAATTACCATTTTATGCAAGAGCAAGAAGAGGACAATAGACCAGTTACATAATGGTGGTTCGTGACAACACATCTCACGCTGCAGGCGAATATTCTTATTCCTGTGGCTGATGTTGATGTAGAGCAACAGCTTTAAGTTTACATTGAGGCGCTTGAGGCGGATAATAGCATCAGCGGAGTAAATCGCTGTGATGATGCCTCCTTATTTGTGAATCAGCCATCGAGTTTATGCTATATGTTCCACGGTTCTGTTCTGGGTTACCACAATTGCACACACACCTTCGGAGAGTTTTTAATCTTCCAATATGTGCATCGTAACCAACATCTGCTTGCCATGGTTTGTCCGGATTCAGTTTAGGGCTCTTGTGGCCCATGAGCTTCGAATGAGAATTGAAGGCAGGGATCTTCTTGGCTTATTTTTTTCCGCAAAGCTTATGGGCAACCCCTAAACCGTATCCATGCAAGCAGATCAAATTCGGCTACTGCTTTTAATTAATCGAGGAAACCAAATAATTAAATATCTCCATAACCAGTGCATGTGCGAACCGATAGGATCGCAGCAAATTGCCAAAATCACACTGGGACCGTGTTTAAGAACCTTTCCCATTCACTGTAAA